GGCCACGACATAGTCGCCAAACCGCCACACCGGCCCAGACGACGGGCGGCGATGAGGGGGCGACGGGGCGGTGACGGCGCCTACATCGCCGCCAAATCGCCACACCAGTTCATTCCCTTAGAAGACACCTGAGAAACCAGAAGTGCAATCACTGGTTTGGCGCCGATTCCAAAAGCGACTGGTCGGGCGTCGGCTACCGATCTCACAGCTGCCTTTTGGGTTAGCAATGAAGATGCACTGCTTTGCCAGTACAGCCTTCCATGGTGCCGCTCACCTCGTGACCCTAGCCAGCTCGGGAAATTACGCGTGAAAGATAACAACGTCGCCAAAAAGCATCCCAGCACGGATTCCTCATGCAAAACGTTGTCCGCTGCAGTTTGCGCGCGTCAAGTCCATAATCGTTCCCGTGTTCTCGGCGCCATTGTCCAGTGCGTCCCTGCCCACAGTGTGCCTCTGTTGTTATACGCTTAGTTGGTCTCCGGTTATTCCACGTAGTCTGTTGTACGTCCATGGCTTCCTCCGCGCGTCGCCACGCAAGTCAGAAGCCACACAAAATCATATGTGAATCGGCAACAGCACGTTGTTTACCCAGAGAGGGCGTGGGCGCAGGGTTCTCTTTTAGAGGTTCTACCCCCGGAGGCAACTTGACGAGGGCCGGCGGACTTATCTGCGATAAGTAACGAGGTAAATTGTGATGTGCTCCCTACCTAGGCTCTGCCTAGAAGGGTTCTTTCTCGGTTGGCTTAAAGGGCCGGGCAGTGGAAAGCGCCCCGGGCGGTTCCCCCGGTCCCCTGGGAGCGGTTCCCCCAGTTGCGCTCCCTGGGTGCTCAGCAAAAGCAAAGGCAAAGGCAAAAGTGAAGGCAAAAGCGAAGGCAAAGCAAAGGCATAGCATAGCATAGCATAGCGCAGCATAGCATAGCGCATCATAGCATAGCCTAGCCTAGCCTAGCCTAGCCCAGCATAGCATTGCGCAGCATGGCATAGCATAGCATAGCATAGCATAGCATAGCATAGCATAGCAGAGCATAGAGGCTCCAACTCCCAGGTAGGGTCGCACTGGGATAATTCGGAACCATCCTGTGGTATTGGGTCTTCGTTTTGAACAGACGGTGCCCCGCGTCCTCTTCCTCCTCCTCTCCTCCTCCTACCCCTCCTCTCTTCTCCCGTCACCCCCCTCACTTTGGCACGCCCCTCACAAGTTTCGCGGCCCCATAGGAGGCTCCACCACAGGCCCCAGTGGCTGCGTTCGCATGCCGCCCCCCCCTCCACTTTGGCACACCTCTCACATGTTTCGTGGCCCCATACGGAGCTCCATCGAAGGCCCCAGTGGCTGCGTTCACATGTCGCCTCCTGTCCTCTTTGGCACACCACTCACACAGATCGGCCCGATACGGAGCTCCACCCAAGGCCTCAGTGGCTGCGTTCGCATGCCGCCAGCTGTCCACTTTGACCCACGCCTCATGCGCTTCGTGGCCCCATAGGGAGCTCCGCCGAAGGCCCCAGTGGCTGCGTTCGCATGCCGCCCCCCCCCCTCAACTTTGGCACACCTCTCACATGTTTCGTTGCCCCATAGGGAGCTCCATCGAAGGCCCCAGTGGCTGCGTTCGCATGCCGCCCCCCCTCCACTTTGGCACACTCCTCACACGCTTCGTGGCCCCATAGGGAGCTCCGCCGAAGACCCCAGTGGCGGTGCCCGCATGCGTTTCGCCCACCCAGTACAGCGCTTCGTGGCCCCATAGGGAGCTCCGCCGAATGCCCCAGTGGCGGTGCCCGCATGCGTTGCCCCTACCCAGTACAACGCTTCGTGGCCCATAGGAAGCTCCGCCCAAGGCCACAGTGGCAGTGTCCGCATGCGTTTCACCCACCCAGCACATCGGTGGAGCTCCTCATGATAAGGAGCTCCACCGAAGGCCTCAGCGGCGGTGTTTGCACACATCTCCCCCGCCCAGTACAATGCTTCGTGGCCTCATAGGGAGCTCCGCCGAAGGCCTCAGTGGCGGTGTTCGCATGCGTCTCCCCCACTCACTACAGCGCTTCGTGGCCCCATAGGGGGCTCCACCGAAGGCCCCGGTGGCGACGTTCGCATGGCGGCCCCGCTGCATTTCGGTACACCCCTCAGACGCTTCATGGCCCTATTTGGAGCGCCACCGAAGGCCCCAAGGGCTGCGCCCGCATGCGTCGCCACCTCATGTCGGCACACCTTTTACACGCTTCGTGGCCCCACAAAGAGATTCACCGAATTCGATACCCACAACGGCGTTACTCACAACTGCAAATGGTTGGGCCCTTCGCACGGATAATTTCAAAAAGTCTTTTCGCGCCTGCCCGTTCCAGGAAAACGTGCCCCCTATCTCGGATCCTCGATCAATAACGGGGTCCGCAGAAATTTGTTTTCCATACTGCAAAACCGGGTGCGGAGCGTGTTGCGCAGAATCCGGAATGAAAAACAAGGTATGAAGACCCCAACAGTTTACAAAACAGATTGGCAAATTGACTCGTTGCGTGCCTGCTCGAGGATTGCGCGTCCCGCGCGCAGCAATCTCGACGGGCGGAATTCTACGTCGGAATTTTGTTTCAAACATCCGTTTCGCGGGTGCCCGCTCGAGGAACATGTGCCCCCCGCGTTTCGGATCCACGATAAATACCAGGGTTTGCAGACACCCGTTTTCCTTATAAGAAACTGCGTGCTCACCGTTTTGCGTAGAATCCATTACGCATCGCGAGGTATGTATCTCTTATATGTATATATATAGAGAGAGAGAGAGAGAGAGAGAGAGAAATACAACAAAGCACACAAACAAAATGGCTTGTTCCGTGCCCGCTCGAGGATGGCGCACCCTGCGTGCCGAATTTCTGAGGATGTCTCTGGCGAAACGTTTGTTTTGTACCGATCCCGGCCCTGGGAGCGCGGACGCAGTGTAATTGACGAGGGGATTCTGGCCCTGAAGGCGAGAACCCAATATAATTTACGGGGGATCGTGGTCCTTCCTGGGAGCGCGGACATTGCGTAATTCACAATGGAGCGCGGCCGTGGGAGCGCGGACGCAGCGTAGATTACGAGGGATCGTGGCACAGGGAGAGCGGACGCAGTGTAACTTATGATTGTTCGTGGCCCTGGGAGCGCGGACGCAGCATAATTTTCGATGGATCGTGGCCCTGGGAGCGCAGGCGCAGAGGCATTTACGATGATGCAGCCCCTGGCGCCTCCCCTGGGCACGTCGCGCGACGCGACCCTGGCACTTCCCCTGGCACGTCCCCACGTCCGCTGACACGTTCCGCGGCGCGTCCCCCTGGCACGTCCCATAGCGCGCCCCCCTGGCACATTGCGCAGCGAGTCCCTTGGCACGTCCACTGGCACGTTCCGTGGCGTGTTCCCTGGCATGTCATTGTCAGGCGCGGCACAGCGCAGAGAGACACAACACAGCCCTTGCACAGCAGCATCACCATTGATACCTGGCACGTTCCCTGACGCCTCCCCTGGGCACGTCGCGCGGCGCGTCGCGTGGCACGTCCCCTGGCACGTCCGCTGGCACGTTCCGGGGCGCGTCCCCCTTTGCACGTTCCGTGGCGCGTCCCGTGGCGCGTCCCCTTGGCACACGCGAGGCGCGTTGGCACGTCAACTGGCACGTCCACTGACACGTTCAGTGGTGCGTCCCTTGCCACGCCACTGTGCGGCGCGGCACAGCGCAGAGCAGTCGAATACAGCCCCGCCCATCGCCCAATTGAGATGCTTGGAACGTTTCCATTCCTCTCGGTTCTGAATCCCTTGCCAGGTTCGTGGGTCGATCATGTTTGCATTTCATTGTGAGCCAGTGCTCGGGCGAATGTGGCGAGAAGGCAGGTGGAGGCGAAAGAGGCAAGGGGGGATCAGTCCGTCTAATCAGGGTTCAGCCCAAGTAGCCTCCCAAGCGCATGGCTGCCAAGGAACCACTTGCGGCATTCCTTTGTGCCATATGTCGGCGCTCTCGATACCCCCTTTGTGTAGGCCCTCGTGCCGGCGGCCGGCGGCTTTTTAGGGGACGTCATCCGACTCTTTGCCGAGCCGCTTTCGGTGCCGTCTAGGTCGGCGTCCACGCGCCAGTCTTTGCCTCTCTGTGGCAGGTCTCACCCCCGTCGCTGTCGCCCCCTCACTCCCCCCCCGTCCCCTGCCCATGGGCATTGGCTTCGAGTGCCCGACGTCGAGCGTCAATGCTACAGCTGCAGCGCCGTTCGAGCCACTCCTCCGCCTTCCTCCCCTCAGTGTTGCCCATCCCCCTGGCATGGCCCGTTCCCGTCTTCCCTCACTTGCTTGCGTTTCGGCCACGTTCGCAGGACAGGAATGCGACGGACTTGAGTACATTGCCAGCACGCTTGGCGAGGCGAGAGGTGTACATGATCGCGGTCCGCTCCCATCTCCTGCTCCTCCAAAAAAAAACTGTTGCCCATCCCCCCTCTCTTCCGTTCCCCTCTGCCCATGCCAGGCGATTCTTCTCTCCCTTCCTGCTGGCCCCGATCGTTTTCTGCATCATCGCTTCTGGTGCCTTCCAGAGATGGCCTCGTCCTCCGCGCACCTCACCTTCGGCGGCGGAAGCTGGCAACAGGTTTCGCGGGGCGGGGTGAGGGGGTAGTGGGTAGGGGCAGCAGGAGGCGTCAACAGTTTTTGAGGGGCGGGAGGAGGGGGTAGTGGGTAGGGGGAGCGGGAGGAGAAGAAGGAGGAGGAGGAGGAGGAGGAGGATGAGGAGGTCCCCCTCTGGACGACGATCCAACGACGCTGATCCATAAAATCGGTCCCTGGACACTTCCCAGGGTCCATCCTGGCCAGTTTTGCAAGCTGCGCCCAGCCGTCGCGACGAGAACCTGCAGAAACGCCCACAGACATCCCCAAACCGACGGCGACGACGACGGTTTGCCGACGACGGCGACAATGACGACGACGACAGCGCCGACGATGACGGCGACGACGACGAAGACGAGGACAAAGGCGACGGCGGCGGCGACAGCAGCCGCGGCTGCCGCCGGCTTCAGAGGGCGCCATATAAGCCGGCCGCGCGGGAGCGCGCCACCCGCCCTAGTCCGCCGCCGCGGCGGAGGAGCGCGGCGCCCTATGCGGCGTGGGCCACCGTTGCCGCGTTCTGAGGAGGAGGAGGAGGAGGAGGAGGAGGGGGAGGGGGAGGAGGAGGAGAAGGAGGAGGAGGAGGGGGAGGAGGAGGAGGAGGAGTAGGAGGAGGAGGAGGAGGAGGAGGAAGGGGAGGAGGGCGGAGGAGGAGGAGGTGGAGGAGGAGGAGGTGGGGCCGGGGGGTTGCGGCGGACCTGGCTGTGTTGAGTGATGTTGTTCTGAGTGTTTTCGTTATTGATTCGGTCTCTCTATCGTGCATTTATGTTGTTCTTCTTCTCCATCTCTCTCTCCCCCGAGCATGGTCCTCGGAACTCCAGCCCTGTGCCAAACGGCATAAGGGGCTGGAATATTGTCATAAGAGTTACGAGTTTTCAGCCTTGTCTACATCACATACACATTATATGCATCTCCTTACATCACACATTTATCCCTCTGGAAAGCGAATTAAAGATATTCCATGCCCTCGCAACAGGAATCCGTTGGAAACCACTACCAAGGGTTTATATTGGGAAGCTTTATAATCGGAGCCGTTTGGAATGCACTGCTGCGGGCTTCGATTGGAAAGCGTCACGAGAGGAATCCTTTGAGAAGCGCCAGAAAAGGGATTCGATTGAGAGCCTCACATCAGGAATCCTCTGGAAAGCGCCAGAAATGGATTCGATAGGGAAGCCTCGCGCTCGGAATTATGTGCGAAGTGCTACCTGGGGACTCCAGTGGATGACCTCACAACAGGGATCCATGAGAAAGCACTACAAACATATTTTGCTATACACACTCATACTTGGGATATGTTGGAAAGCGCTTCAGCAGGACTTCGTGGGGAAACCCCACACATGAACTCCTATGGGAAGGCATATAAAAGACTCGATCGGACAACTGCACAACAGAGATCAGACGAACATCACAAAACAAGGTGGTGTTGGAGCGCCCGCAACAGAAGTCCGTCGGAAGTTACCCCACATTTTAAAACATGGCCTCGCAACATGAATCCGCTCGGAACCATTACAAGCAAGGGTTATGTTGGAAAGCGAGTAAACGAAATCGTTTAGAAAGTATAGTTGAGCGTTTCTATTGGGACGCATCGCAGGAGAAAACCTTTGGACAGCACAACATATTCGATTGGACAGCCTCGGGCTTGGAACAGTGTGCGAAATGCTACACAGGAATTCCATTGTCACAACAGGGATAATGTGGAAAGCGCTGTCTAGTCACACGCACGTTGATAGGATCAATCACAGTTGGAATCCTTTGGAAAGCGCCCCAGGATGATTCTGTTGGAACAAACACTTGGAAACCTTCGGCAAGGAATCTAGCAGATTTTGCCGGGCGGCCTCGCAATAGAGATCCTTCGGACAGCGCAACAACATTAATTATATCGGAACGCCTGGCAACAGGAATCCTTTGGAAAACACCACCGGGATTATATGGGAAAACCTCACAAGGGAAATCATTGGGAAAGTGGCACGCAGGACTCCTTCTGGAAAACATCACGAGAGGAATCCTTTTGGAAAGCGCTATGACGGGCTCCTTCTGGAAAGTACAACAAAGGGGATCCTTTGGAAAGCACCGCGCAGGGATTTTCTTGATCCGGAAAGCGCCACGAAGGGGCTCATATTGGGAATCTGCACAAATAACCAACGGAAAGCACAACATATGGATTCCATGGGAAAACGTCAGGGCTTCTCTTGCGACGCGGCGCAAAACAGATGAACCCACCGGAAAGAACCACAGATGGATTCAACCAGTAAGCCTCACAACGTGAATCCTGCGGATAGGGCCGCGGAGGGATTCGAATGAAAAGCCCCACGACGGGATTCTTCTGGAAAGCACCACTTAGAGATTCGATTGAAAAGCCTCGCAACGAGGATCCTTTGGAAAGTGCCACAACGGGATTCTACGGGAAGTCCTCACAGCGGAAATATGTTTGGAACGCGCCGCAAAGGGCTTCTATTGGAAACCATCACCTCAGGAATCCCATTGTACGCACCACGAGGCGATCCTACTCGGAAGCAGCACGCAAGGAATCCTTTGGAAAACGCGACAAAGAGATTCTATGGGAGAGCCTCACGGTCGGAATCCCTTGGAAAGCACCACGCAACGATTATGCTGGAAAGCCTCACGACAGGACTCCTTCGGAAAACACCACGACGGCATTATATAGGAAACAGTCACAGTGGGAATCCGCTGGACAGCACCACAGAGGGATTACATGGGAAAGCCTCGCGCCAGAAGGGTCTTTTCAAAAACGGAGGGCTCCGATTTGAAAGCCGCACCATAGAGAACCCATGGGAAAGCATCATAGAGGGATCAGTTGGGAAGCCTCACGACAAGAACCGTTTGGATAGCGCCGCGGAGGGATTCGATTGGAAAGCCTCAAGACAGGACTCCTTTGGAAAGCACCAACCAGAGATTCGATTTGAAAGCCTCGCAACAAGGATCCTTTGGAAAGCACCACAACGGATTCTACGGGAAATCGCCGCACAGGGGTTCTATTGTAAAGTGTCACATCAGGAATCTGCTGGAAAGCGCCAGGAGGAGATCCCACTTAAGGAATTCGTTGGAAAACACAGCAAAGAGATTATATGGGAAAGCCTCACAACAGAAACCAGTTGGAAATCGCCACAACAGCATTATATTGGAAACCGTCACATTGGGAATTCTGTGGAAACGCCACGGAGGGGATTCTATGGGAAATCCTGACAAGAGGAATCTGTTGGAAAGCGCAACATAGGAAATATATTGGCACGCCTGTCGACAGGAATCCATTGGAAAACACCCCACAGGGATTCTATTGGAAATCCGCACACAGGGATTGTATGGGTAAGCGCCAGAAAGGATTCCCCCCCAAACGAATAATTTACAAACATCGCATGACCCATCATGTCTCCGTGTTTTCCTCGAAAGGGCGCTCGCCCAGGGATCTCTTTTAGTTTTGTTTCCCTGGTTCCCGCCCGCGGAATTTTTGGGGACCACTTGCCACGTAAAGTCCCACCCGGCGTGGAACAGTTGAGGGTGTCTCGCGCGAAACGCGTGTTTGGTTTCCGCCGGCGGAACCATCTGCGATAACAAGGTAATGTTCCATTCGGCGTGGACAACTTGAGGATGTCCCTAGCGAAACGCGTGTTCGGCTTCGGCCGGCGAAGTTATGTGCGATTCGTACCGAGGTACAGCCCCAGTCGGCGTGAAAAAAATGATGTCCCTAGCGAAACGCATTTACGACGGATCGCTTTGGGGGGGCGGACGCAGCGTAATTTCTTAGGGAGCGTGGCCCTGGGAGCGCGGACGCACCATAATTCACAAAGGATTGCTGCCCTGGGGGGGCAGACGCAGCGTAGTTAACACGGGATCGTGGCCCAGGGGGAGCGGACGCAGCGTAATTTAGAACGTATCTTGGCCCTGGTGGGGCGGACGCAGCGTAATTCATGAGGGAACGTGGCCTTGGGAGCGCGGACGCAGTGTAATTCGCCAGGGAACGTGGCCCTGGGAGCGCGGACACAGCGGGACCGCGGACGCAGCGTAATTTACGAGGGACCCTGGCCCTCGGGGGGCGGACGCTGAGTAATTTACAAGAGAACGTTGCCCTGGGAACGCGGACGCGGCGCAATGCACAAAGGAGCGCGGCCTTGGGAGCGCAGACGCAGCGTAGTTTACGAGGGATCGTGGCCCTGGGAGCGTGGACGCAGCGTAATTCACGGGGGATCCTAGCCCTGGGAGCGCGGACGCAGCGTAATTCATAATGAATCGTGGTTGCCTTGGGAGCGCGGACGCAGCGTAATGTACAATGGATCCTGGCCCTGGGTCAGGGATGTCCTGGTACGTTCCCTGACGCGTTCCCTGTTCCCTGGCACGTTCCGTGGCGCGTCTCGTGGCGAGTCTCCCTGGCACGTCGCGCGGCGCGTCCCCTGGCGCGTCCCGTGGCTTGTCCATTGGCACGGTCCGTAGCGCGTCCCTTTTGGCACGTCCCGCGGTGCGTCCCCATGGCCCTTCCCCCGGCACGTGCCCTGGCGCGTCCCTTGGGACGTTCCGCGGCGCGCCCCTTTGGCATGTCCCCTTGTCTGTCAACTAGCCTTGGGGCAGCTACTATGTGCTCAGGCAGCTCGAGCTTAAGATCCAGATCAGTTCGGTCAGGACTCGGGTGCAAAGGAGGACTCGATCCACAGCGCTATAGAGCACAATCGCGGCATGGCACAACGCAAGTCAGCACGGCGCAGCACAGCACAGCCTTTGGCATTGTACATCAAGATCGATACATTCAGCATTGCAACTTGGCACGTTTCCTGGCACGTTCCGTGGCGCGTTTCATGGCGAGTCCCCCTGGCACGTCGCGCGGCGCGTCCCCTGGCGCGTCCCGTGGCTTGTCCATTGGCACGGTCCGTAGCGCGTCCCCTTTGGCACGTCCCGCGGTGTGTCCCCATGCCCCTTCCCCCGGCACGTGCCCTGGCGCGTCCCTTGGGACGTTCCGCGGCGCGTCCCCCTGTCGCGTCCCCTTGTCAATTAGCTCTGGGGCAGCTACTATGTGCCCAGGCAGCTCGAGCATAAGATCCAGATCAGTTCGGTTAAGGACTCGGGTGCAAAAGAGGACTTGATCCACAGCGCTATAGAGCACACTCGCGGCATGGTACAACGCAAGTCAGCACGGCGCAGCACAGCACAGCCCTTGGCACAGTACGTCAAGGTCGATACACTGAGCATTGCAATTGCCCGTCGCCCAATCAGGTTTCTTGAAAACGTTGCCATGCCTTACGTTTCTATATTCCTTTCCGGGATCGTGGGTCGATCACGTTCCTCCTCCTCCTCCTGATCTTCCCCGCCGTCCTCCCCCAAGTGTTCCCCGAAGGTTTTCCACAACGGCTGGGGGAACACATGGCCCGATAGTTTTGCAAAGCTCTTGCCACAACGCTCGGCCACATGGGCGATTCCAATAGGCAGGGGGCGGTGGTGATTCGCCGGACTGTCGGTGCGCTGAAGAAGGAACGCTTTTCATCAGGGAGGGGCCCCGTGTTCCTTAAATATTTCACGGTTTTTTTCAGGTGTTCTTCAGGTTTCCGATGGGAAATCGAAGTTTAACTTATGGAAAGTAGAGGGCTCGTTCCTTATTTAGGGTTCCTTAGGTCAACGCCGCGACTGTAGGCGTTTTCGATTGCCAAAAACCTGCCAGACAGCAATTGGGATTCTAGCTCGCCGGGCACGGTGGCGCCTGACGGGAATCGCCTCTGGCGTGCACTGCTTGTCCAGGGTTAACGAATTGTCTCCAGCTAAGGGGTCCGAGTGACGGGAGGCGCGCTCAGACTCGAAGAGTCCTGCGGTTTTCTTGTGGGTTTGTTCGTCGAACTTGGTCGCACAAGAACGGGAAGCGCCGATGCTGCCCTCTGGGAAGCAAGGATCGTGGCGACGACAAGGCGGCGAATGTCGAGGATGGCAGCGTGGATGACGGGGAGGGCAGCGAGGGGAGCAGAAGGACAACGAGCAAAACGACAAGCACGAGGACGAGGAGGAGGAGGAGGAGGAGGAGGAGGACCGAAGCGGACGAGGAGGAGGAGGCACCGACGGCGCACCCCCCCGGCGCTCCCCGGAGCGACGCCGTCGGCGGCGCCTTGCGTCGGGTGGCGGCGCCCCGGCCCTGGCGCGGGTGCCAGGAGGCGCCCGCGATGCCCGCGGGGGGCCGGAGACCCCGGGAGCGCGGCACCGTCACGAACTGGGTGCGGGCGGACTACGGCTTCGTGAAGCGCGAGGGCGCGCCGAGCCCGCGCCTCTCGCCGCCGCCGCGCGCGGCGGCCTGTGCTGCTTTTCCTGCTGCTTCCCGGAGAGGCCTCGGGCCCAGGGCTTATCGGGAGCCTTGAGACGGGGGTCAATCCAGACGGGGGTCAGCCAGGGCGCCAGATCCTGCAGGGTCCTGCGAAGATTCCCTCTGGCTGACCCGGGTTAGGGAGCCGCTCGTGGCCGCGAGGCGGCCGCGCGTATTGGTTGACCCGGGTTCGCGAAGATCTGCGTTGCAGTTTTTTTGTCCTGCATTGCAGTTTTTGGTTTCCCGCTGACCCGGGTCTGGATTGACCCGGGTCAGAAGATCCCCGAGGCTTGCTCTTGGCTGTGTCTCCCTGGCCTCCTCGGCTTGAGGTGGGCCGGCGAGTTTCATCTGAGGTGGGCCGGCGAATGAGAGAGTTGAGGATGTCGCCAGCGCGGATGGCTGGTTTTTCAAATGCCGATCGAGAGAACACAGGGTAGGTTGAGAGCATTCCCGTTTGTTGCGGATGTCTCGAGCGACACGCTTGTTTTGGAGACGTCCAGGAGCCTGGACGCCCAAGAATGCCCTAGGGGGCCCTGGGAGTGCGGACGTAGTATGATTGCTAAGGCCTTGCGGCAGGTGCCGCCGACCCTGGAGGCCTCGGCCCTCGACGGAAATGGAGGGAGAGGGCGGGCCATGGGCCCCGGGAGGGTGGTATTCTGACCCGGGACCCCCCCTGGGACCCCCTTCCCGGACCCCCCCTTCGAGTAAACACCGACGTTGCTCAGATTGGCTTCCCCTCCGCGTCGCGGCCGCTCCCCTCTCCCGAAGGGAGCCACCCGGGTGCAGCCCCCCCCCCCGGCATCCGGGTGGGACCCCCCCCCTCGGGGGGAAGGGATAAAAGGGAGGGGGCTTCCCTTCGAGTAAGCAACGACGTTGCTGAGATTGGCTTCCCCCCGTGTCGCGGCCTCTCCCTTCCGCGTCGCGGCCGCTCCCCCCCCCCCCCGAAGGGAGCGCTCCCCCCCCTCCCGTATCCGGGTGTGCGCGCCCCCCTCGGGGGGAAGGGATCAAAGGGAAGGGGCTTCCCTTCGAGTAAGCTGCGACGTTGCTCAGATTGGCTTCCCCCCCGTGTCCGGGGGGAAGCAGATTGGCTTCCCCCCCGGGTCGCGGCCGCTCCCCTCGCCTGGGGAGAGTCGACCACTCCCCCTCTTGGAGCCGACATGGCGGTGTCGTGGGCAGCTCCCCTCCCCCGAGGCGAGCCGACCACCCCTATTGGAGCCGACGTGACGATCTCGTGGGCGACGACGACCCACGCAAGATGACGAGACCAGGATACGTCTTCCACACGCCGACAGGGTCTGCGGATTTACCAGGGATCGTGGCCCTGGCAGCGCGGACGCAGCGTAATTCACGATGGATCGTGGCCCTGTGAGCGCGGACGCCGCGTAATTTACGATGCATCGTGGCCCTGGGAGCGCGAGCGCGGACGCAGCGTAATTTAGGAGGTATCTTGGCCCTGGGGGTGCGGACGCAGCGTAATTCACGAGGGAACGTGGCCCTGGGAGCGCTGACACAGCGGGAGCGCGGACGCAGTAGTTTACAAGGGATCGTTGCCCAGGGAGAGCGGACGCAGCGTAATTTACAAAGGATCGTAGGCCTGGAAGCGCGGACGCAGCGTAATTTATAATGGATCGTGGCCCTGGCAGCGCGGACGCAGTGTAATTTACGATGCATGGTGGCCCTTGATCCCTCGGGGGGCTGACACAAAATTTAATCGCTTCGCTCATTCCGCCGGCCCGTCTTATAGCATCGCTGGCACTTGCCTGCACTCGCGTGGGCATTTTGGGAGCCTCCTGGGGCCTCTTGGGGGCTTCTGGGGGGGGGTCTGGGGGGCCTCTTGGGGGCCTCCTGGGGGCCTCCTGGGGGCCTCTTGGGGGCCTCTTGGGGCTCTCTTGAGGCTTCTTGGGGGGCTCTTGGGGCCACTTGGGGGCTTCTAGGGGCCTCCTGGGGGCGTGTTTGGGCCGAAAGCTCGAAATTTCCGTTCAGGTTCTCCCTCTGGACCCCATCTTGGGGCCGTCTTGGGGCCCTCTTGGGCCGTCTTGAGGGTTTCTTGGGCCTTCTTGCGGCGCTCTTGGGCCGTCTTTGAGCGGTCTTGAGGGCCTCTCGGCCCGTCTTGGGGCGATCTTGGGGGCCTCTTGGACCGCCTTGGACGGTGTGAGAGCCGAAGAGGCGGATATGTTAAAAATATACGTTTTCCTAAGAGAATGGGAAGATTTTTGCTTGTGGAGACCCTCTTGGGACGCCGCTTAGGGACCTCTTGGGGCGTCTTGAAGGCTTGTTGGGCCGTCTTGAGGCCATCTTGGGCGTCTTGGAGTGATCTTGCGGCGTCTCGGGGCCCTCTCGGACCGTCTGGAAGGCCTCCCGGGGCCCTCTTGGACCGATTTGGAGCCCGGGCTCCGAAAAAGAGTTCCGGCATCCTTGAACCGAACTTGCCGGGACCTTGCCGGGAGTCTGCCGGGACTTTTCGTCCGGGGATCCCCAGGGCCCGCCCCGCGCGCGCGAACTAGAAATATTGTTTACCAGTTACCGGAGATCTTAGCACGCCTCTGGCCCGTTGGGCCGGCGAATAATTTACTAGGAAACGTGGCCCTGGGTGGGCGGACGGAGTGTACTGTACGATGGATCGCGGCCCTGGGAGCGCGGACGCAGCGTAGTTTAAGTAGGATCGTGGTCCAGGGAGCGCGGACGCAGCGTAATTCACGATGGATCGTGGCCCTGGGAGCGCGGACGCATCGCAATATACAAGGGATCTTGGCCCTGGGTCAGGGACGTCCCGCGGCACGTTCCCCGACGCGTTCCCTGGCACGTTCCCTGGCGCGTCGCCTGGCGCGTTCCCTGGCACGTTCAGTGGCGCGTCCCGTGGCGAGTCCTCCTGGCACGTCGCGCGGCGCGTCCTCTGGCACGTCCCGTTGCACGTCCATTGGCACGTTCCGTAGCGCGTACATTTGGCACGTCCCGCGGTGCGTCCTTTGGCACGACCCCTGGCGCGTCCCTTCGAACGTTCCGCGGCGCGTCCCCCTGGCGTGCATCCCTGTCAATTGACTCTGGAGCAGCTATGTGCTCAGGCAGCTCGAGCTGAAGATCCAGATCAGTTCGGTCAGGAATAGGATGCAAAGGGGGACTCGATCCACAACGCTTTAGAGCACGATCGCGGCATGGCACATCGCAACTCAGCACGGAGCAGCACAGCACAGCTCCTGGCACGGCACGCCAAGATCGATACACTCAGCATTGCAAGTGCCCGTCGCCCAATCAGGTGTCTTGAAAACGCTGCCATGCCTTACATGTCTTTTTTCCTTCCCGGGTTCGTTGGTCGATCATGGGTTTTGCAGTGGGTCCTCCTGCGCCCGCTCCTCGGCCTCCGCGTCGTCTTTCGCCTCCCTCCCTCCTCGCTCCCGCTCCTTGCTTCTGATTGTTCGCCTCCTCCTCCTCCTCGTCCTACTCCTCCTCTCCTACCCTCCCTGCTCGCCCCCCCCTCCCCCCGTCGGTCTCCTCGTGGTTCTCCCGCTCGCTCTGCCGCCGAAGCCCGAGCCCGAGGCTGCTCCGCCTCCGGGCCTCCCCTCCGAGACGACCTGCCCCTTGGGGAGGGTCGAGACCTCAGGGGCGTGCGGGGTCCTCGTTCCTCTCTTCGTTCGTCGGGGTCGGGGGCCCATGGCCGTCGTTCGAGCGTGGGCACGACCTCTGGGGGGTCGCTGCTTGCGATCCGCGCCTTGGGCCTGCTGCACAGACGCTGGCTCAGCGAGAAACGGCAGAAACGGCAGGGGCGTGCGGGTTGAAAAGATCAAGGCGTCGGACGTCCAGGAAGGAGGTGCGGCCTTGGCATCGCTCGGACGTGTGCGTACTTTCCTTGATCATGTCGCGAAAAAACCACGCACGAAACCGAAAAAAACCCAAAAAATGGACGTCCGAGCGATGGCGAGCGTCGGCTTCGAGTCCCCAGTTGTCTCTTGTCTGCCCGGTGCCTTGAGGGTATCCTACCCCCCTCCGACCGTGATGGCGGTCGGCCGACTGTGATGGCGGTCGGCGTGGCGAACCCGTTATAGGTGGGGATTGGCTCTGGGACCGTGTCGGGCGTGGCTGACGGATTGGTTGGACATGCTGGAGGTGCAGGTGGACAGTGAGCTGGCCCTCCGCGCCCTGTCGGGGCGGGTGTGCGCACGGCTACGGGACGGCACGCAGAAGTTGGTGGCGGCGGCGGAGCAGCGTGGCTTTGGGATGCCGCTTCCATCTGCACAGCTGCCGTCTCGGGCCGAAGCGGCGGCTTCTCTACGGCGCGGAGCTCCTGGCCAGTTCTGGGCCTGGCTGGCGGGCAGCAGCGACTCGCCTGAGCGCTGTCCAGTGTGAGGCGGCCAAGTTGCTGCTGGGCGTTACGGGAGGGCACGCGCTTGCACGCCAGCAGAGACGCCGAGGCTCACGCGCCGGGGTGCCAGGCTGTTGCAGCGCATCGCCTTGGGCCGCGCGCGCCTGCTGGCGCTGCCTGCAGCTAACCCGGTCGCGCCTGCAGCGGCTGGTTCCCGGCTGGTCCGGGGCGCCACGTGGCTCGAGCACGCGGCGGAGGTGATTGCGCACCTGCAAGTGCGAGCCGACGTTCCGGTGGACGCGCCTCGCGAGTCTCAGCGTACGTCCCCGCAGCCGCAGAAGCTGGCCGCTTCTCAGTGGAAGCACGAGTTCTTTGCTCCAGTGGAGCGCGAGCAGGAGCGGGCATGGTGCTTGCTGCCGCTGGCAGCCCCTCAGCGAGGAGGGCCTGGTCCCGTCGCGCGGATTTCTGCCGCTTCGGCCGCCGCCGGCCTCGGGGCTCCACTTGGTGCGGTGGGGGGCGAGCGTGTGGCGCTGCTTTCGGGCGTGGTCTCACGCTGCTCCCATCGTGCTGACGGACCACATCCCAGACATAGTTTCGAGCACCCAGAAAAGCGTCGAGGCAGTGTCGAACGAGTGTCGCCTCCCAGGGCCCGACACTTGAGAACCCTCAAGTTCCGGTAGCTCGAATTCTTTCTGATGGTCAAGGCTAAAGTAGGTTGGAACATCATTTGCTTGGTCATGGGCCAGGGTGACAGCGCGCGTGCCTGCAGTGGTGTGGTGACCAGAGCACGGCCGCTATGACAGCCACGGCTGCCCAGCGTGCGGCGCCCAGCTTGGTACTCCCGCGGTGTCTGGCGCACGGGCATTTGCTTGGCGCGTGCGTGGAGCTGCTCGACGCGTGCGGAGGCGCTTCGGGGCCAGCCGCTTGCCGCGGCGTGCTTGGGGACACGCTGCATCTGCAGGAGCTGGCCGAGAGGTGCCGATTCACGGGCCTTGCAGCGCGGACGCGGGTGCAGTACGCCCAGGGGAGTGCTGGCGGTGGCGCAAGCGTGCGCGCGAGCTCTGCCTGTGGGAGGGGTTCTTGCGAGGACTCCTGCCGCCTCCCCAGTCGCGATGGCCCGAGGGCCCACGGGAGGAGGCGCGAAGGACGGGAGGGTTGCTGCGGTCCGAGGGCCAGATTCGGCGATGCAGCCCTCGATGCAGCCTCCTCTTTCTGTCCCCGCACGCGCGAGGGTCGGCGCAGACTCGTCGCGCTCCCTCCTCATTTCCCCTCTGCTGCCTCCCCTCCTCCGTCCTCGTAAGTTCGGTCGGGCACCATTGCCCTGGACGGTCCCAGGGGAGTTTGGCGCGACGAGAGCTCATCCTCTGAGTCTGCTGGTTGCGGGTCAGAGGTGGGCTTGTGCATCTTGCGCTCTAAACCGCCATGCGAGTGCAACGGCAGTCTCGGGTCGAGTCTGGCAAGTCTTCTCGCCCCCTTTCCTTTCCTATACCACCCTCCCTCCCTCGTATCCCTCCCTCCCTCGTATCCCCTTCCCTCCTTCGTATCCCTCCCTCGTATCCCTCGTATCCCTCCCTCCCTCGTATCCCTCCCTCCCTTCGTGTTTCCTCCCTCCCTCGTATCCCCTTCCTTCCCCTCCCTCTTTCTAGCGACGAGGCCGAAGCAACGACGACATCCAGCTGCACATCAACAACGCGAAGGGCGAGAAGTTCAAGAAATACCTCCGGAGGGGCAGCGCGGGTCCAGCGGGGGTCCAGGGAGGGGGGGACGGACAAGCCAGGTGCGCTCGCGCCATCTCTGAGATACCAGGGCTGGACCCAAATGGTATTTTCGGCGATTTCGTTGGCCGTTTTCGTTTCGACTTCGTTTTGCAGCAAAGGCGGATTGGAGACAAAAGCTAGGGAAAACGAAAACAAAACGAAAACGAAAAACACCTTTGAGGTTCAGCCCTGTGAGATCCTACCCCTCCCACCCATCCCTTCCCGTTGCGCTGGCTTTCCCCGGAAAGAGCGCCAGTCCAGGGTTCACTCTTAGAGGTTTTTGCCCCCGGGGGCGACTTGAGAAGGGCCGGGCGACGTTGTGTTCTGATATTCTTTGTGATAGGGAACGAGGTCGAGATGAGCCGGCAAACTGATGTTTGAGGATGTCCCGAGCGAAGCGCTGGAATGGAAGTTCCGATCGATAAAGTACAAGGTGAAGTAAGCATGTTCGTCTGTTGCGGATGACTAGAGCGAAACGCTTGTTGTTGCATAATGTGTTGAGGATATCTCGAGCGAACCGTTTGTTTTGGGCTATAGATCGTTCCTCTCCTGGGGACCAGAATTTAGAGGATGTCTCAGGTGCACGGCTTGTTTTAACGTGCCCAGGTCTTGAGGATGTCTCGAGCGAGACGCTTGTTTTCACGCCTCCAGGTTGCCCAGGCAGATGTCTAGCATCAGGATTTACTGAGGACATCGCGAGCGAGACGCTTGTTTTCACGTGTCCAGGTCGTCCAGATGTCTAGCATGAGGATGTGTTGAGAATGTATCGCAAGAGACGCTTATCGCAGTAGAGTGCGTCGCGGTCCAACCCCGCCCGTCCGTCGGGCGTCCCCTGGCGCGTCCCCTGGCGCGTCCCTTGCGACGTTGTGGCTTGACGTGCCCTGGCACGTCCCCTGGCACGCTGCTCGGCGTGGCACGTTCCGTGGCCTGTCCTCTGCCGCGTTTCCTGGCTCGTCCCTAGGTGTTTCCTTTGCCCGTTCTGTGGCGCGCCCCTTGCAAAGTCCCTTGGCATGACGTCCTCTGGCCGCCCAATGGCACGAGCCTTGGCACGTCCGTGGCAGGCCCCTGACACGTCCAGGGCACGTCCCCTGATACCTCCCCTGACACGCCCCCTGGCGCATCCCATGTTGTGTCCCTGGCACATCCTGTAGCGCGTCCGTGAGCCTGTGCCCCGAGTCGTGTCGTTCCTTTTCGGAGCCGAGTCGGATTTTGAGGTCGAGTTGATTGAACGTCCCGCACGTTTCCACTCCAACTAGCTCTGGGGCAGCTACTATGTGCTCAGGAAGCTCGAGCTCAAGATCCAGATCAGTTCGGTCAGGTCTCGGATGCAGAAGAAGACTCGATCCACAACGCTATAGAGCACAATCACAGCATGGCACATCGCAGTGCAGCACGACGCAGCACAGCACAGCCCCTGGCACGGTACGTCAAGATCGATACACTCAGCGTTGCAATTGTCCGTCGCCCGATCAGATGTCTTGAAAACGTTACCATGCCTCACATTTCTATATTCATCTCTGGGTTCGTGGGTCGATCATGTGAGAGGCTTCACCCGCGGGGACGACTTGAGACGGGCCGGCGAAGTCATTTCCTGTTGTCATCTGTAATATATTTCGATGTCGAGACGGGCCAACGAAATACTGTAAACGTTGAGGATTTCTCGAGCGAAACGCTGTTTTTTTTGAAGTTCTGATCGATAAAGCACAGCGTAAAGACAGCATGTTCGTTTGTTGCGGATGTTTCGAACGAACCGCTTGTTCCCGGAAAGGGCTCCGCCTTGAAGGGTTCTCTTTTAGATGGTTTACCCACGGTTTTGACTTGAAGGAGGCCAGCGGATTTCCGCTCGATAGAAAACGAGGTAAAGTCCAGCTCGGCGTGAAACAAATGCGTTTCGCGCGTGCCCGCTCGAGGAAAGTGAGCCCCCCAGCTTGGACCCTCGATAAATAACTGAGTCCGCGGACCACCGTATTCCTTTGTAAAAAAGACGGTGCGGGGCATTTTCAGCAGAATCCTGGGAAATAAACAAAGTTTGGAGCCCCGACCGCGACGCGGAAAAGCGTCCCGCGCGCAGGCATTCCGAGGATGTCTCGCGCGTGCCGCGTCCCTCGCGCAGGAATTTCGAGGATGTCTTGACTAATTCGCTGGTTGTTCTCGGAAAGGGCGGGGGCCCAGGGTTTCCTTTTGATATGTTTACCCCCGGTTTCGACGGCTGTAGGGCCGGCGGAATGACTTTGCCATAAATAGTGAGGTCGCCTAGGGCCGGCGGAATGAGTTTTGAGGATGTCTCGAGCGAAACGCTTGTTGTTTCAGAGTTTGTTGAGGATGTCTCGAGCAAAGCGCTTGTTTTGTGTTATATAGTGTCCTTTCCTGAGGACCAGAATTCAGAGGATCTCTCAAGTGAAATGCTTGTTTTCACGTGCCCAGGTCTTGAGGATGTCTCGAGCGAGACGCTTGGTTTCACGCCTCCAGGTTGCCCAGGCAGAGGTCTAGCGCCAGGATGCTTTCAGGATGTCTCGAGCGAGACGCTTGGTTTCACGCGTCCTCGTCGCCCAGGCGGATGTCTAGCGGACGTGTTGAGGAAGTCTCGATCGAGATGCTTGTTTGCACGTGTCCAGGTTGCCCAGGCGGATGCCTAGCATGAGGATGTGTTGAGAATGTCTCGAGAGATACGCTTGTTTTCACGTGTCCAGGTCGCCCAGGCGGATGTCTAACATGAAGATGTGTCGAGGATGTCTCGAGCGAGACGTTCGCTTTCACGTGTACAGGTCGCCCAGGCGGATGTCTAGAATGAGGAGGTGTTGAGAATGTCTCCAGCGAGACGTTTGCTTTCACGTGCCCAGGTCACCCAGGCGGACGTCTCACATGAAGATGTGTTGAGGATGTCTCGTGCGAACCACTTGTTTTTACGTGTCCAGTTCGCCCAAGCTGATGTCTAGCATGAGAATGTGTTGAGGATGTGTTGAGCGAAACGCTTGTTTTCACGTGTCCAGGTCGCTCAGGCGGATGTCTAGCATGAGGATCTTGACAGGATGTCTCGGGCGAAACGCTTGTCCCCAGCACGTTCCGTAGCGCGTCCGCTTGGCACGTCCGGCGGTTCGTCCCCATGGCACGTCCCCTGGCACGTCGATTGGCGCGTCCTTTGAGACGTTCCGCGGCGCGTCCTCCTGGCATGTCCACCTGTCAATTAGCTCTGGGGCAGCTACTATGTGTTCAGGCAGCTCGAGCTTAGGTTCCAGATCAGTTCAGTCAGGACTCGGATGCAAAGGAGGACTCGATCCACGACGCTATAGAGCACAATCGCGGCATGGCACATCGCAGTTCAGCACGGTGCAGCACAGCACAGCCCTCGGCAGGGTACATCAAAACCGATACTTTCAGCATTGCATTTGCCCGTCACCCAATCAGGTGTCTTTGAAGCGTTGCCATGTTTTACATTTCTATATTCATTTCTGGATTCGTGGGTCGATCCTGTTTTTCCCAACCATCCTGTGGTATTGGGTCATCGTTTTGAACAGACGGCGCCCCGCGTTCCTCATCCTACCTACCTTCCTCCCGCTCCTCCCTCCCCTCACACGCTTCGTGGCCCCATAGGGGCTCCACCGAAGGCCCTGTGGCAGGGTTCGCATGGCGCCGCCGCAGCCATCACACCCCTCACCCGTTTCGTGGCTCCATAGGGAGCTCCACCGAAGGCTCCATTGGCAGGGTTCGCGCACCCATGTCGGCACACCCTTCACACGTTTCGTGACCCCACAGGGAGCTCCAGCGAAGGCCTCAGTGGCAGGGTTCGCATGGCGCCACCGCGCCCATTTCGGCGCACCCCTCACACGCTTCGTGGACCCATAGTGAGCTCAACCGACAGCCCCACTGGCAGGGTTCGCATGGCGCCGCCGCACCAACTTCGGCACATCCCTCATACGTTTGGTGGCCCCACAGAGGGCTCCACCGAAGGCCCTGTGGCAGGGTTCGCATGGCGCCGCCGCAGCCATTTCGGCACACCCCTCACGCGTCTCGTGGCCCCACAGGGAGTTACACGGAAGGCGGGCTCACAATTGCGGTATTCACAATTGCATATGGTTGGGTCCTTCGCCAGAGTAATGCATAATTCGTTGAGGATGTCTCGAGCGAAATGTTTTTTGAGATTTCCGGGAACCTGGACGCCCAAGGATGCCCCAAGGGGCCCGCCTAAGGAGAGCGGACGCAGTGTAATTTGCCAGGGATCGTGGCCCTGGGAGCGTGGATTCAGCTTAGTTTACCAGTGATCGTGGCCCAGGGAGAGCGGACGTGGATCGTGGCCCGGGGAGCGCGGACGCAGCCACCGTAATTTTCGAGGGATCTTGGCCCTGAGTCAGGGACGTCCCGCGGCACGTTCCCCGATGCGTTCCCTGGCACGTTCCCTGGCGAGTCGCCTAGCACGTTGCCTGGCACGTTCCGTGGCGCGTCCCTGGCGAGGCACGTCCACTGGCACGCCCCTTGGCACGTCCCGCGGTGCGTCCCCATGGCACGTCCCCTGGCACCTCGCGTCCCTTGTGACGTTCCGCGGCGTGTACCCTTGGCATGTCCCCCTTCAACTAGCACTGGGGCAGCTACTATGTGCTCAGGCAGCTCGTGCTTAAGATCCAGATCAGTTCGGTCAGGACTCAAATGCAAAGAAGGACTCGAGCCACAACGCTATACAGCAGCGGCATAGCACATCGCAATGCAGCACGGCGCAGCCAAGCACAGCCCTTGGCACGGTACGTCAAGATCGATACACTCAGCATTGCAATTGCCCGTCGCCCAGGTGTCTTGAAAACGTTGCCATGTCTTACGTTTCTGTTTTCCTTTCGGGGGTCGTGGGTCGATCATGTTCTCGAAAAGGGCTGGGGCCCAGGGCTCTCTTGTAGTAGGCTTCCCCCGGAATCGACTTGAAGAGGGTCAGCGCAGTTATTTTGCTATAAATACCGAGGTGAAGTCCGATTTTAGTTCGAGTAAATGCGTTTCGCGCGTGCCCGCTCGAGGAAAATGCGCGCTGGCGGAATTAGGTGCGATAAATCATGGAGTGATATCGGTTTTCTTTGTTTTGGGAAATGCGTTTCGCGCGTGCCCGCTCGAGGAAAATGTATCCCCTACCTCGGGTCCTCGATCAATAACGGGGTCCGCAGACACACGTCTTCTTTTGTAAAAGCAAGATGCGGGGTATGTTGCGTAGATCCAAGATCTGGAGGCATGACATGTTTTAGAAGATGAATCGAGTCGAGTTTTTGCGTGCCCGGTGTCTGGGGGGAGGGCGGGGGGGCCGCCTTTCCTTAAGCAGAAAGAGGTGCTTGCCTAGGAGCGCGGTCCCGTGCCACGTTCCGTGGCACGTTCCCTCATGCGTTCCTTGGCACGTCTCCTGGCGCGTCGCCTGGCACGTTCCCTCGCACGTTCTGTGGCGCGTCCCGAGGCGAGTCCCCCTGGCACGTCGCGCGGCGCGTCCCCTGACACGTCCCATAGCGCATCCATCGGCACGTTCCGTAGCGCGTCCCCTTGGCACGTCCCGCGGTGCGTCCCCACGGCACGTCCCCTGGCACGTCCGCTTGCGCGTCCCTTGGGAAGTTCCGCGGCGCGTCCTCCTGGCATGCCACCCTGGCATCGCCCAAGTGCATATGCAATTGAGGTCCTTCTGAAACGGGTCCATGCCTCGCAGTTCTCAATTTCTTTCCGGATTCGTGGGCCGATCATGTTAATCAGGAGTTTGGTTAGCAGAAGGTTTCCCTTGCATTGCAATTTTATATAAGAGGGATGGTCAGTAAAGCCCCCTCCATGCACTGTCCTGTGCTGTAACTGTTTAGTCAGTTGTTGGTGTCTTGTTTGTGGTCTGGACGGTTTGCGCCCGGGCTGCCAAGGAGACACGACGGACCCGCTTGAGCACCAGACTCGAACGGAAGGTCATCAGTGAAGAATGGGTGCGGGAAGGGTGTTTCCCCTTGTTGCCGTTTTGGCTCAAGGTGCATTTTCCGCGCCTTTCATAATAATGCAAGTTGTACATTTCCACTTTACATCTGGGATAGAACAGTTCACCTCCTTGCCTTTGCGCTCTACATTCTAGTCTCCCCCTCATCCCCCTCCTTACTTCTGCTCCCCGCATGTATCTACCAATTCGGTGCACTCCGCACACGTCTCGTGTCACCATAGGGAGTTCCACGGAAGGCCCACATGGCAGGGCCCACATGCGTCAGCCCGAACCGTGTCGGCACGCCGCTCACACGATTCGTGGCCCCACAGGGAGCTCCACCGAAGGGCCCAGCGGCAGGGTCCACATGCGTCCGCCGGGCCCATGTCGGCATATCCCTCACACGCTTCGTGGCCCCATACGAGTTCCACCGAAGGCCCCACTTGGTGGGTCCACATTCGCCCCCCCAGCCCACGTCGGCACACCCTTGCAAACGTTTCGTGGCCCCACAGGAGCTCCACCGAAGGCCCCAGCGGCAGGGTCCACATCCGCCCGCCCAACCCATGTCGGCACACCCCTGAGACGCTTCGCGGTCCCATAGGGTGCCCCAGCGAGGGCCCCAGCAGCAGGGTCCACATACGCCCGCCGGGCCCATGTCGGCACAGCCTTCACACGCTTCGTAGCCCCACTGAAGACGGTTCTCACCACTGCGTTGTTCCCCGTGCATATGGTCGGGTGCTTCGCCACGACAATTAACTATCGTTGGAGTGCGTTGTGTTGTTGGCCGACTGAGACATGGCGCCCTCCACAGGTGTGCACCAAGGGGCCCGCTCCGCTCTGGCTTTGTCGGACCTTCCCCCCCCGCGGGCCGATCTCGCCCCCTGGCCTCCTCGCCCTCCGCCCGCCCTTCCTCGGTATTCTCCGCCCTCGCCTGCTCATGTTCTCTCTCCTCCTGTTCCTGCTCATGTTCCTCCTCCTCTTCTTCTTCCTCCTCCTCGTCCTCCTCCTCCCGTTCCTCCCCTGCCTCCTCCTTCTCCTTGTCCTCCTCCTCCTCCTCCTCCTCCTCCTCCTTTGCGCCCTCCTCATCCTTCGCCTCTCCACCGTCGGTCGCCGCTGCTGGCGACGGTCTGGCCTGAGTCAAATTGGCAGCATTCCGAGTCTGTTTCCCTGTCCCCGTTCTCCTCGCCTTCCTCCCTCCTCCCGGCCTCCCTCTTCGCTCCTCCTTATTATTCCCTCCTTTCTTCCTCATCCACCATCAGTCCGTCTTCATCCCACCTCGCTCATTCCCTCGTTGTCCTTCCACATCTCGCTCCTCATCCTCTTCCACAACCAAGTAGGGTCTTTGAATGATAACTGCCCCCCCCCCTAAGCATTCGGCTGGTACTTTGAGTCGTATTTTCCCTCCTCGTCGTTCTCATCATCATCATCATCATCATCATCATCATCATCATCATCATCATCATCATCATCATCATCATCATCATCATCATCATCATCATCATCATCATCATCATCATCATCATCATCATCATCATTACCACCACCACCGCCATCATCATCATCATCATTATCATCATCATTATCATCATCATCAGCATCATCATCATCACCATCACCATCACCAACACCATCACCATCACCATCACCATCGTCACCATCATCATCAGCATCATCAGCATCCTCATCATCACCAGAACCACCACCTTCTCCATCATCACCATAATCATCAGGGATCCTCAGTCCTGATCCCTCCGATCATCAGCGGTGGCCGCCTCGGGGGACTATTCATACTCCCTGGTGTTTTGTTGGTGGGGTCCCAATCCGCCAAAAAGCCCGCGCAGAAAGATGTTCCCATTGTTGGAAGGCCCTTCGCGATTATCCTGCGTCTCCCTGTCGCTCGAATCCCCACACCCGCGCTTCTGCACTCGTGACCTATATAACATGGAGCCGCGCTCGTGCAAGTCTCGCTCTCCCTTCTTTTCCGTTCCCTCCTTCCCTTCTTGCCCTCCGCGGGGGGGGTGGGGAAGGGGGAGGAGGGGTGGAGGAGGGAGGAGGGAGGGGGGAGGAGCGAGGAGAAGGAGGAGGAGGAGGAGGAGGAGGAGGAGGAGGAGGAGGAGGAGAATGAGGAGAATGAGGAGGAGGAGGTGGTCGCTCCTGGTGAACATCGCCCCCGTGGTGCTCCTGCTCCCTCTCCGGCCCCCGCTGCCCCTCCTCGCGTGCTGCCCCGTGCCTCGTGCTGCTCCGTCTGCCCGCCCCCGCCTGCGCCGTGCACCCTCCCGAGAGCCGGGCCCGCGGAGTCTGGCGGCCCCCCCGCCCCTCGGCCTCGGGGCGATCGGAGCGGGTGCGGGAAGGGAGCGGGTGCGATGCCCAACGGCAGCTCCTGCGCGTCTTGAGCGGGGCTCGCGTCCGCGCCGCCGCGGGCGCTGCTCGTGGAAGACAGGGAGCCGTTCGCCCCGGCCGCGGGCGCTGTCGGTTTTGGCTACCATGTGTCACTGGGCATTGTGCCCATGTGTTCCGATCCCACTTCGGGCGTGCAGATCTCTGCTCCCCTCGCCCGCCTTCCGCCCTCCGTGTTCGCCGCCCTCCTTCGCCGCCCCCCCCTCCGCCTCTGAGCTCGCCCCTCCCCGATGCGCCCCCCGCTCTCCCGCCCTCCGTCTCCGTGCCCCGCCCCCTTCGCCGCCCTCCCCCGCCGCCCGTTCCTCTTGATGCGCCCTCCCCGCCCGCCCTGGCCGCCAAGGGTGCAGAGACAAGCCTGCCGCAGGGACAGCATGGGCCGTTACCTTGCTATCGCTCGGACGTGTGCACTTTTTTCTCGGCGGGGAATATTCAGGAGCCTCCTGGATCGTCCTGCGAAAAAAAATCCACGCACGAGACCGCAACAGTGCACAGGGGATGGGCGTCCGAGCGAGGGCCAGCTACCGTTCCTCAGCATCTGCCCCCCCCCCCCCCCTCCTCCCACCCGACCCCACACGTCGGGAGAACCCACGGCCTCGCGCCGGGCGTCCGCGTGAAGTTCGTGGTCGACTTCGAGGAGAACCGCGGCAGGCCCGCGGGATGCGTGGGGGGCGGGGTCTCTGTGGCGAGGGGAAGGGGCGGGAGTCGATGGAATGACGATGGGGAGACGAAGGGGGTAAGCACGCGGGTGTTGTTCAGAGAGCCCGCGGCGATGAAGAGTCGTCGCTGTTTGGCGTGACGGGCCGCAAGAGTCGGTGCCGCATCCCCGCTTGGCAGCAGGACGACCTGCCCTGGACAGAATCTTGGCAAAACGGCCGCGCAATTGCTGTGACTCGCTGATCGCTGGTGAAGGAGAGCACATCACTCTTCCGCGTCCCTTCTTTTCTCGCGTCTCGCCTCGCCGTTCTCCCTTTCCTTCTCCTTCTCTCTCTCTCTGTCGTTATTTTCCCTGGAAGGGCATAGGCCTAGGGTTTTCTTTCAGTCTTGTTCACCCCCCGCCTCGACTTGAAGAGGGCCGGCCGGATTTATTCGTTATGAACAACGAGGTAAAGTTGTTTTTCTCGGAAAGGGCGTGGGCCCAGGGTTCTCTTTTTGCTGCTTACCCCCAGAATCGACTTGAGGTGGCCGGCGGAGTTATACCCGATGAAAAGATAAGGTCGAGGTGTGCCGGCTGATTTTTTGATGATGTCGCGAGCGATACGCGGGTGTTTCAATTTTCGCCCCTGCATTCAAATTGTCCGGTTGTTGCGGATCTCTCAAGCGAAACGCTAGTTTTGCAGAAATTGTTGAGGATATCTCGAGCGAAACGCTTGTTTTGGAGACTCCCAGGAACCTGGATGCCCAAGGATGCCCCAGGGGGCTCCGGACTGCGGACGCAGCGTCATTTACGAGGGATCGTGGCCCTGGGAGCGCGGCCGCATCGTAATTTACTAGGTGTGGCCCTGGGAGCGCAGACGACGCGCAATTGGCGAGGCTTCGTGGCCCTGGGAGCGTGAATCCCGTGTGATTTGCGAGGGACCTTCGGCCCTCAAGACGGCCCGAGGAGGCCAAGAACATTGATTTCCCTTAGGTTTCGAAAGGTTTGAACGTTTTCGTTTTTTCGGGGCCCAAGGCGGCCCAATAGGCCCCAGATATCGTCTCAAGAGGGTCCCAGAAATGCCCCAACGGGACCGAAAACGGTCCAAGAGGGCCCGGAAAAGAATGGAGCAGGGAGGAGGAAGGGAGAGGAGGAGGAGGAGGAGGAGGAGGAGGAGGAGGACGAGGAGGAGGACGAGGAGGAAGAGGAGGAGGAGGAGGAGGGGAGGAGGGAGAAGGAGAAGGAGGACGCCCTCCCTGTCCCCCCCCCCCCCTGCAGAGCGGGGCGGCCCTCGGGGGAGGCCCTACGCGGCCGAGTGGGAGATGTGCGAGCCCCCGAGCTTCAGCGACGACAGCGCGAGCCGCAGCCCGGGGCGCGGCGGCGGCAGGCGTCGGTCGCCCAGCTACAAGGGCGACGGGGGGGCGGGGGCGGGATCGCGTGGCCTCCTCCTCCTCCTGCTCCTGCTCCGCCTCCTCCTCCTCCTCCTCCTGCTCCTCCTCCTCCTCCTCCTCCTCCTCCTCCAGCTCCTCCTCCTCCTCTCCTCCCTCCCTGCCTCCTCCCTCCCTCTCCCTCCCTCCCTCTCTCCTGCTCCTGGGGTGACGAGGGCAACGACGACGACGACGACGACGCTCCTGCTCCTCCTGCTCCTCCTGCTCCTCCTGCTCCTCCCCCTTCTTCCGGGCATTTTCTGTGGGCGGGGGGCACAGGGTGGCATCTGACATGCCGGGTCGATGGATGGTCGAGGCTTGGATTCTACAAGAGGTGAGTCGCAAGACGGATCGATCTTCGAGAGGAAGAGCGCATATGGAGTTCACCCTGAGCTCTCCACCCTAAGAGAATGCTCAGCTCTTCTTGGCCATGCCGCGGGGACGAGCGCTCGAGGCGTCAGTGAGTGGGCCACCAGGCCCGCGCGCTCTCTCCCGGCGGGCGCACTGCACAGGAGAGGCGGCACGGATGCAGCAAGTGAGAGCACCTTCGGCACACAGCTGGTCACCACGAGCTGGATGCATGGGATGGTGGGCAGAGCGGCTCCTCCTCCTCCTCCTCCGCACAAGGTGCTCCTCCAACAACATCAGCATGACAGGATAGCCCGCACCCGCCCACAACTCCCGAGAGAAAGCAGCAATGGGAACAGGATCATGGGCGACGGCAGGTACCCCATGGGGGCTGGATCCCTTCCTACCCAACGGGTTGCTCTTTGGTGCGGCGGGGGCCCTTGATGTTATCTCAGGTGGCCCCCGCCGATCGCAGGGCGACGCCGGGTGGCACGTCACCATCCCTGGGGCGGTCAACCAAATCGACCAGGAGTGCGAATGCTGCGGCCGCCCGTCAGACGACATGCGCCACCGCTTCAACTGCCAGAGCGTGGATAACCTGAGAAGTGAGCGCCTAGAAGCGTCAGGTATAGAGTATCTCTGAGGGTATTCCAACGAGGCTCCCCTAGCCCACGGTTTTCATTTTGATCCTGACCTGGTTTTCCATCGACCCACCAGGGTCGGAACTGCACTTTAGTTTTGATCCATAGACGGCGAGCTCATGGAGGCCGCTTTGTCTGGAGACGGTTTGTTGATGGGTCCTGCTTTAAGCGTGGCCCAGCTCTTTTGAATCAGACTGGGTGGTCGGCAGTTGTACTAGATGATCAGTGTGACTGCACGGTTTTCCTGGCAGTGCAGACAGGCGAAGGCCTGCCGCCCACGTCAGGAGCTGCGGAGCACGTCGGCCTAGCTGTCAGTCACATGCGCCCGCGCCTCACGAGAGTTCATTCAGACCGCGTAGGAGCCATTAGGCAACACAGCCAGCTAGAAATCGACGGGCACATTCTGCACGTTGGGCTCGAGCTCATTGCTAAAGGCATGCGCGTTGGAGGTGCCCCCCCCCACACCATCTGGAAAATTCAGGCCCATCAAGACTTAGACAGCCCCCCAGACGGCTCCAGGGAAAAGTTGCTGGCCCGCGGGAACTTTGTTGCCGATCGAGCGGCCAGAGCGGCTGCTCAAAATCTCGCCCTTCAGAGAATGACATCCAGCAGTGCCAGGCCGACCAGGCCTAAATCGCGATGCTTGAGATTTGTTTCACAAGCTATGATGACTTGGCCCACCATTGCCCCCGAGCCTTGTGCCAGAGCTTGTGGTAAGCCCGTTGCCAAGCCGCAAGTGAAACCCCTTGTGGGTGCTGCTCTTCTCGCCCCGACTCCTCCGCCTCCCCTTCCTCCTGCGGGCCCAGGGGCCGATCGCGGTGCCCGCCCTCGGGGCAACCGGCAACAAGAGCAGCCTCACAGATGGGGCTTGGATGACGAATAGATGGCTGTGCGAAATATGTCGCGGCCGTGCTTTGACCAGAGCCACCAAGGCCCGTGGCGATGCGGAGAGATGCCCAGGCCACTGCCTGAGCCTCTGTTAGCTTCTCTGAAGAGTAATGGCCACAACAGATACATTTTCGATCCCCTCGAAAATGAAAGCTGTGCCAGGGCCTGGTGGGACTGCGAAGTTTATTCAGAGCTCATGGTCAGAAGGTTCTAGAAATGGTGCCCCCCATAGGCCAGCATCTAGTAATACGATCTCAGCCCTGACTTGTTTTCGCGCGTGCCGCCACTCCAAACAAGGGAAGACCAGTCCCTTCATTTTTGCTGCTCCCATAATTCTCGACATACTGAGTCGAGAAGCGCACGCGGCAATGGGAATTTCAAGCAGCAGCAGCAGCGGTCAGTACTTGCAAGACAAAGACAAGCGTTCAGTCAGATGCGCTGGTCCTACTCTTCCTCCTCCTCCTCCTCCTCCTCCTTCTCCTCCTCCTCCTCCTACTACTACTACTACCCCTACTCCTACTCCTATTCCTACTCCTCCTCCTCCTCCTCCTCCTCCTCCGCCTTTTCCTTTCTCCTGCTCCACCTCCTCCACCCTCCTACTCCACATCCCCCTCCTCCTCCTTCCCCTCCTCCTCCTCCTCCACTCCTCCTCCTCCCCCTCCTCCTCCCCCTCCTCCTCCTCTTCCTCCTCTTCCTCTTCCTCCTGCTCCCTCCTGCTCCACGTCCTCGTTACCCGCCATCGTGCCACCTGGCTGCCGCTGCTGCCGCTGCGGCGCTGCTGCCGCCGAAGCCGCTGGCAGCGGCGCGCCACCCGTCGGCGGCGACGGCGGTGACGGCGCCGCAATGGCGGCGGAGGGCGTCGTCGCCGGCGGCGGCGCGCCAGCCGGCGGCGGCGGCGGTGTAAAGGGCACCCTGGCACTGGGGGAGGGGGCAGGCGCCAGCAACATGGCCGGCAGGAGCAAGACTGGATCTAGGTCGGCAGGAGCAGGACTGGATCCAGGTCGCACGGAGGCAGCGTCAGCGGAGAGACGGCGTGCAGTGCAGGCTTTCACGAGGGAGCGCCTGGGCGTGTCGTGGCGCGGCGCAGCGTTTTTTTTCGGGAGGGGTCAGAAGCACACAGACACAACCAATCGTCGATTCCCAGGAAAATATGGGAAACTATGGGATGTGGGAGGGAAGACCCAAACCCAGAAAATATACGACAATCTGGGGAATCCTGTTGTTTGTGTGTATTTATGTGTGTGTGTGTGTGTGTGTGTCCCGGGGCCCCTTCAGTGTTCACCGCACTTGCCAAACAGGTGCGGAGACTGGTGATTTCATCTTTTGTATACCAGATAGCAGGCAAGCCTCCCCCCTCTCCCCTCCGCCCTTGCCTCCCCTCCCCCGACCTCCTCGCCCCCTCCGCCGCACCCCTCCCTACGGTCAGGAACGTTGGCTCGGCGTGTCGCGTCGCTGGTTCTGGCCCACCATCGGCGTCACCCCAACATACTAATGCTAGTTTTGTGCGCGTCGCCCTCCGAAGGGCCACGCGCGCACCGAGAAACCTCATGGTGAATGCGTCGTGGCGGGCGCTTTTTGGCCACGCCGCTCGGGAAACGATATACGACAAGATGGGTATACCAGATGTTCGGGTCGGACGCGTGCCTCCAAGGATGACGTGTAGTACTAGTATGTCTCTGTGCGTCCCGCACCACTCTTTGGCGCGACACGCTACTCACGTCCCAGTCGCCGTGCGTCAGCGCCTCGAGCTCTGTGCGAGCCTCCCGCCCCGCGGAGCGGAGCGACACGCCATCCGCTCACAGGGCGTAGCGTGTCGCCGGGGCCGCCGCCGCGACACGCTGAGCAGCATTTTCTGGCCGTGTCCTCGACGACGATGACGAGGACGATGCGATGACGATGACGATGACGAGTAACAGTTCCTGACCGTATCCTCTCTTCCTTCCATTCCCCCCCCAGCCCAGTTCCCCTTCCATCCCCCTGTCCCGCCCCCCTGCCCATCCCTCTCTCTTGCTCTTCTGATTTTTCCCGGGAGGGGCGGGGCCCAGGGTTCTGGTCAGGGGTTTAGTCCCTGGTCTCGACTTGAAGGAAGCAGGCGAATCTATTATGGGGTAACTAGCTGGGTCGAAGAGGGCTGGCGAATTAAAAACTTGAGGATGTCCCTAGCGAAACGCTGGTTTCTGACATTCCGATCGATAAAACGTATGGTGCAGTAAACATTTTCCGGTTGTTGCGAATGTCTCTAGCGAAACGTTTGTTTTGCAGAGTGTGCTGAGGATGTCTCAGGCGAAACGCTTGCTCTGTGTTATAGATGACCAGAATTCAGAGGATGTCTGACATGCTTGTTTTCACGTGCCCAGGTCTTGAGGATGTCTCGAGCGAGACGCTTGGTTTCACGCGTCCAGGTTGCCCAGGCAGATGTCTAACCAATGAGGATGTGGCGAGGATGTCTCGAGCGAGACACTTGTTTTCACGCGTCCAGGACGCCCAGGCACATGTCTAGCATGAGGATATGTTGTGGATGTCTCGAGCGAAACGCTTGTTTTCACTTGCCCAGGTCGCACAGGCGGATGTCTGATATGAAGATGTGATGAGATTGTCTCGAGCGAAACGCGTGTTTTCACTTGCCCAGGTCGCCCAGGCGGATGTCTGATAGGAAGATGTGATGAGGCTGTCTCGAGCGAGACGCTTGCTTTCACGTATCCAGGTCGCCCAGTCGGATGTCTAGCATGAGGATGTGTTGATGATGACTCGAGTGAGACATTATTTCCAAGTGCCCAGGTCGCCCAGGCGGATTTCAGACATGAAGATGTGTTGATAATGTCTCGAGCGAAGTGGTTGTTTTCACATGTCCAGGTCGCCCAGGCGGATGTCTAGCATGAGGATTTGTTGAGGATGTGTTGAGCGTAACGCTTGTTTTCACGTTTCCGGGTCGCCCAGGCGGATGTCCAACTTGAGGCCCGGTCGTAGGGCGTCCCCTGGCGCGCTGGCGCGTCCCCTGGCGCGTCGTCCTCTGTCGCGTTTCCTTGCTCGTCCCCAGGCGTTTCCCCTTCCCGTTCCGTGGCGCGCCCCTTGCAACGTCCCTTGGCATGACGTCCTTTGGCCGCTACACGGCACGCGCCTTGGCACGTCCCGTGGCAGGTCTCTGACACGTCCAGGGCACGTCCCTTGATACGTCCCTTGACACGCCCCCTGGCGCCCCCTGCCCCGTGTCGTGTCGTTCCTTGTCGGAGCTGAGTCAGATGTTTTAAATGTCCCGCACGTTTCCACTTCAATCAACTAGCTCTGGGGCAGCTATTATGTGCCCAGGCAGCTAGAGGTTAAGATCCAGATCAGTTCGGTCAGACTCGATGCTAGTTCGGATGCAAAGGAGGACTCGATCCACAACACTATAAGGCACAATCGCGGCATGGCACATCGCAAGTCAGCACGGCGCATCACAACACAGCCCTTTGAACGGTATATAAATAAGTATATCTACACACAGCATTACAACTGCCCGTCTCCCAATCAGGTGTCTTGAGAACGTGGCCATTCTTCACAGGATATATTCCTGTCTGGGTTCGTGGGTCGATCATGTTTCCCCCTTCCGAGCTTCCGTCCCCCTCCAACCCCGCCGCCTCCCTCGCCCCCTCCACCCCTTCTCTCATAGACATGTTCCCCTTCCCCAATCCCGCGTCTCATCCTCTTCGTCCCCGTTGTCGTCCTCTTTGTACTCCTGTTGTCCTCTCCCTCCTTCTCCTCCCCCCCTTCTCCTCCTTCTCCTCACCCTCCTCCTCCTCGTCATCATCATCATCATCATCATCATCATCATCATCATCATCATCATCATCATCATCATCATCATCATCATCATCTTCACCATCATCATCATCACCATCATCATCATCACCATCATCATCATCACCACCACCATCGTCATCATCATCATCATCATCATCATCATCATCATAATCATCACCATCATCATCATCATCACCATCATCATCATCATCACCATCATCATCATCATCATCATCATCATCATCATCATCATCACCACCATCATCACCACCACCACCACCATCGTCATCATCATCATCATCTCCGTAGCCATTTTGGCTCTAGCCTGGCGCGCGCACTGGTTCAAGGGGTGGCCTCTGGCGCAAGCCTATCGGCGCCCCTTCGCTCCGCGCCCTCCGCACGGCCACGGGGGGCGGCCTGCCGTGGCGGCCCACATCGCTTCGGCGGCTCGAGATCAACCAGCTCGGGGCATCTGCTGCTCGCCGCGCGGCACGGGCCCGCGCTCGCGCCGCCTTGGAGGCCGCGCTCGGGTCGCTGGTATCGGCTCGTGCACTCCCTGGATCGTGGGCGGACCGCGAGCAGGTGTCGCGGCCCGCCTTGCAGCTGGCCGCGTGGCGCAACGCCGCGTGGCACTCTCAGAGGGTGCCGCCTGGCGGCTCCAGAGCGGCGCAGGCGGCGCAGGCGCAACGCCGCGTGGCACTCTCAGAGGGTGCCGCCTGGCGGCTTCTCGCGCGCCTCCTCCGCTGGCATCGCGTGGGCTGCCGCGGGCCCCCGCCTGGGAGAGGGTGGAGGAGGCTTCCGCTCGGAGGCCCCGCCGCTCCATCCTCAGTCGGACGCGGGCTCGGCCTTCGCCGAGAAGCCAGCGCCCGAGCCTCCGGTTCCGGAGGCGGTGCAGGTGGGCTCCGCCGGCGTGGCGCTAGCTCCAGGCTGCTGGGAGGTCCCGCTCGTGGCCACCGACCTGCGAGCCATGGCCTTCGTGGACGGCTTGGAGGCGGGCTTGCGACTGGCGGCCTCGCTGCACACGCCGCCTCCGCAGCGTGCCGAGGGCTGGGCTGCTGCAAGGGATGAGTACTGCCGTGGCGCACCTCCCGCGCCGCCACTCGATGTTCCCGACGGTCTTCAGGGTGTCGAGTGCGAGCGCGTGCGAAGTGGCACGGATCAAATGCTTCGTGACGGCCCTGCGCGTGATCAGTTCGGTGTGGCGACGCTCTCTGGCTGCGCCCCTTGGGTGCCGCATGAGTTCCCGTCCGATCCTGGTGAAGGACACCTTTTCGGAGCTGCCTCTTTGTCGGCGTCGGCTGGAGTGGGTTGGCATTCCCCGCCGCGGTTGTTCTTCGGCCCTGGCAGCGAAGACGATCCACTCAGCGACTTCGAGCTTTGAGGTTCCACGTTCGTGCAATCTCGATTGTCCTTCCGCCGTATTTGGCTTCTGGGCGTGATGAGTTGGGCGACTTCGGCATTGTTGTTTTCCTTGTACGGGGCTTGCTGGCGTTTACACCGTATGTGGCTCTCACTGGTGTGATATTCTGAATGTGGCTGCCGCGGGGATCAAGTCTCTCCACTTTGTCGTGCACGGTGTCTTCAATACTTCACGAATGGCTTCCGTTTGGTGCCGCGCATCCCCCACTGTGCTGCACGTCTGTTCCTCATCCTGTCCTTCGGCATCCCCGTCATGATGTTCGCGGAGGAGTTCAGGGAGAGGCCTTCGGGGAGTGAGTTGATGTCGAACAAAGTCATCATCATCATCATCATCATCGTCATCACCATTGCAACCCTCATCATCAATGCCACCATCAATACTATCATCATCGTCATCATCATCATCATCATCATCATCATCACCATCATCATCAGCATCGCCATCATCATCAGCATCATCAGTATCATCATCTTCATCATCGTCATCATTAGCATCACCAGCACCAGCATTATCATCATCAGCACCATCATACATCGCATCATCAGCATCACCATCATCAGCATAACCATCATCATCATCATCATCATCACCAGCATCATCATCATCATCATCATCGTCATCGTCACCATCATCATCACCACCACCATCACCATCATCACCATCATCGTCACCTTCATCATCATCATCATCATCATCATAATCATCATCATCATCATCATCATGATCATCATCATCAGCATCGCGTCCTCTTCTTCCTCCTCCTCTCCCTCCTCCCTCTCCCGCCCTCCTCGCCCCTCCTCGCCGTCTCTGCTCCGTCCCTTCCCTCCCCTCCCCCCTCCCCTTGCGCCTCCCCCCTTCGCCCTCCTTCCCCCCGGAGCCTCCGCCCCGGCCCCCCGGGGCGGGCGCCAGACAAGAAGAGGTCGCCCAGCCGCAAGAGGCCCGATCCGCGCGCCCTTTCGTAAGGGAGAGGAGGGAGGGGGAGGAGGAGGAGGAGGAGGAGGAGGAGGAGGAGGAGGAGGAGGAGGAGGAGGAGGAGGAGGAGGAGGAGGAGGAGGAGGAGGAGGAGGAGGAGGAGGAGGGAGGAGGGAGGAGGGAGGAGGGAGGAGGGAGGAGGGAGGAGGAGGGGGAGGGAGAGGGGAGGAGGGGGAGGGAGGAGGAGGAGGAGGAGGAGGAGGAGGAGGAGGAGGAGGAGGAGGAGGAGGAGGAGGAGGCGGAGGAGGAGGAGGAGGAGGAGGAGGAGGAGGAGGAGGAGGAGGAGGGGAGGGGGAGGGGGAGGGGGAGGGGGAGGGGGAGGGGGAGGAGCGGAGGAGGGGGAGGAGCAGCAGGAGGAGGAGGAGGAGTCCATGGAGTCCATCAAGGGGCCTCGCCCGGCGGGCGGGGCACGGGGCGACCCGCACGCTGCTGAATGGACCAGCGTGCGCACTTGGTTGGGCTCCCCAGGGCGAGCGGGCACGAGGCCCCATGGGGCTTACGGGCCGCACGATCCCCCCCCCCTCGACCGAGTGCGCAACGCCCGATGCCCGATGCCCAGCGCGAAGAACGAAATGGCACCAGCTCCACGGGCGCAGCTGCGCGCCATATGCTGCGGGCACGATGCCACGCTGCTGTTTCTTGACGACTGAGACCGGGGAATGAGGATGAGGAGGAGAAGGAGGAGGAGAAGGAGGAGGAGGGGAGAGAAGGAGAAGGAGGAGGTGGAGGGAGAGTCGGGGAGAGAAGGAATAGGAGTAGGGGGAGGGAGAAGAGGAGGAGGAGGAGGAGGAGGAGGAGGAGGAGGAGGAGGAGGGACGAAGCAGGGGAGGAGGGGGAGGAAGAAGGACGGGGTGCACCTCTCTGCTTGCGTTTCGACGAATGCCAGCCCATCGTCTGACTTTCTGGTCGGTTGGCGGCAAGCATGGCCATGCTGGCGGAGGAAAGGAAAGGTCTGTCCGCGTCTCGCCTCGCCTCGCCTCCTGTCCCTCCTGCCTTGCGGCCTCCGATATGTTAGCGGACGGCCCTTGGGCCCTAGACTCCTTCCCGGGTCTGGCCTTACATCCGTCCTGAGCCGATTTTTTCCCCTTCCCCCCACCACACCCCGCCCTGGAGACCGAACAATGCCCCCTGGACACCGAGTAGCGAAGCAGCACTCCCACGCAGTGACTGCACCAAGGGGCCCTTGCTTGTCTTGCCGGGCAGTTTTTCCAGGGCACTTTTGGGTGTTCGCCCGGTCGCCGCACGTCGCCGCCTCGCCGCAGCCTGTGCGCGGGCCAGAGTTGCCGGGGTGTTGGCCAGTGCCTGCCGAGTGGACGCCCGTCGCCGCACGCTGGCCGCTCAGAATGCCCACCATCGAATGCACCACGTATCGTGCACCCTCCCCCTCCTCCTCCTCCTCCTCCTCCTCCTCCTCCTCCTCCGTAGCCATTTTGGCTCAAGAGCCAGAATGGTTACTCCTTCACTGCCTAAGCGGGGTAGGCTCCCATCCAGTCCTCGTTGCTCTTTCATGTGCGCTGCTCCCCGCTGCGGCCGCCGCTGCCAGGAGGGGCTCCTCGTCCACATCCTCGGCGTGCTGCTGGCACTGGTGTTGCCATCATGTCGGGCAGTGATTCTGACCACGACAAGTCGCGCACCTCGCGCAGTGGGGGTTCGCGGAGAGAGCGGCGGCCTCCTCGGGACTACGACAGTGCCAGACCTCGCCCTGCTGAGCCGCGAGAGCGTCGGCATGAGCGGGACCGACGTCGAGACGGATGGCGCGGAGACCGAGACGAGCGAGCTGCTGCAGACCATCGACCGCATCCCCAGCGACCAAGTGAACCCGCTGGTGGACCGCCTCCTGCGGCAGGCGGTGCGACGGCGCCCTACCCAGCCCTCACCGAGTCGCAGATTGCATCGATCGCCAGAGACTTGGAGGCCTTCCCCACCCAACCAGCTGATGATCCCCTTCATCATGCCGACCCCTGGCGAGCAGGAGCAGCTGGTACCGCCACACCTGGTGCCGCAGGAGTACCCTCCGCCGCTGCAGCAGGCGCTGGTCCAGCTGTGGAGGCCGCCCCAGGAACAGTGGAGGCCATCCACCAGTCCCTTTACAGGCAGCTCACGGAGCACGTGGACTCCGCCATGGCCGAGTTCAAACGCGCCACGGCTATCACGGTGGCGACGGCGATCCATGCGGAGCAGGCTGCCATGGCGAAACGTATCGACGCGAACGAGAGCGAGTTGGCGCAGCTCAAGCAGAGGATCCAGGACTCCGAGGCCGAGCAGAAACGCCACAAGGAAGCCATCGACACCATCCAGAAGGCGTTGGCGATCGCGGAAGCGCAGACGGCGGTCCCCGATGTCATCGCCGAGTCCGACTTCGACAGGCCGCCTGACCCCGCGGTCTTCTCCATTGGAGCTCCAGACATTGTGGCCCCGCAGCTGGTTCAGCAGGCCCTCGTGGGTTGGTTCAGGGATTCTGGAGTCGACATCTCCACGGCCACGCTTCAAGGTGATGTACCTGCCCGACGTTTCATTCTTCGTCTTCTTGGCGGCCCTGCTGTGGTTTCTCCGAGAGCGGTGGCACTGGCTCGTGCCCTCAAGCTCGCGGGTGGCAGCTGGCGCCAGTTCTCGGCTATGTCGGTTGCGGGCCAAACGATACCCTTGTATGTCTCGACAGACAGGAGCCCGCGACAGATCAGACGAGAGATCCAGACTAGACGCTTGCACCTCCTCCTCAAGGAATCCAAGGCCGACATCGACTTCCGCCCCTTCAAACAGAAAGGTCGTGTTTCTGCGGTGGGCGTGCCTTTGGTGCGTCTGGACGTGGGCGCTGCGGCCAACATCGATACCAAGATCATCTGGAATTATGCCCAGGCCACGAAGCTTCACATCGACACTGCCGCTATCGAGCACGCCTTCAACGACTTCTTCGCCGAGGACAGAGGAGTGTCGTGGGGGTAGCATCACTGGCTCCTACGCGTCGCCCTCCCAGTTCAAGCTGGTGTCGTGGAACGCTAGGGGCCTCCTCACGATCAATACCAAGAAGCGAAAACAGAAGTTCGAGTTGCTGAAACAATACATGCGCATGAACTACCTCATCTTGCTCCAAGAAGTTCACGGGTCTGGTCCACGCCTTCGCCGAGCAGTTGGAGCCCTACCCTTCAAATATCATGTCCTCTACAGTGGTGGCGGAGTTGCGAGCACTGGTGGAGTGGCCATGCTGATCCCGAAAGCGGACGCCCTCGGCCAACCCATCGATATCGCAGATCTCGCAGCGGAGGCCCCGACGTCGACGGCTTCTGGCTCCTCGGGGTGCTGCTCTTCACCTGTGGCGGGGGGAGGGCGGGATTTGTGGGAAGCAAAATCTGGCGGGGCATTTCGGGCTAGGACGCTTTCGGTTTCTACATCACGAGCGTCGTCCAGTCTGGATGGGGGCAATGCTACATCTTCTTCCTCCTCGAGTTCCTCTTCTTCACCCACCTCTTCTTCGTCACCCGGGTGTCGGTTTCAAGACCTCCCACGGGATGCTGAAGACCACCGTCCGCTGAGGACGACTGCGACGTGGGTACCGACGCTACCAGCGGACCGAATACACACCTCTGGCAAGAAGCTCACGATTGTCCACACTGTCCTCGCAGTTGGGCGCGTCCAGGTTGCGGAGATCTTTGCTGGCTCTTCTTGTGTTGGTGTCGTTATGAATATCCACAACATTGACCTCACCATTCGTCATCGCAAGGAGATAGACCTCAAATGGAGACGCTATGCTGCATGGGCCTCTTCGTCGCCGAGATCGCGGATCTTCATTGCCATGGGCGACTTCAATATTCACGATGAACCAGCTGTGTCATTCGTCACGCCTGCTCCAATTCTACTCCCTACTGTTCGAGGAGATGCATTCCAGCAGGCGTTCTGGCGACGCCTCTTTGGTTTGTTGACGGAAGTTACGACTGGTGAGCCAACTCGTTTTGATCCACACACACTTCGACAAACGCGAATTGATAGAGTCCTCACTTCGCTCCCCCCACATGCTATTCCCAATCTCTCGCTGAAGTTGGCAGTGCTGGTTGACCCGACACTATTGAGTGACCGACGGCTTAGTGACCATGCGATCTTGGGGCTTACCATAGCGACGGCCAGGCCCAAGGTTGATGAAGTTCAACAGATCCCTGACTTCTTGTTCCAGACCCCGCTCTACCAGCAGTTCTATGAGCGCTTGATGTCCTGTTCTCGCACTAAGTGCGCAAGCCCGCCTATGCTGTGGAGAATCACGAAAGACAACATGGTCCAAGCTGCTCGACTTACACGCAATCATCTCCTTGAATTGCCTGGAGGACGTCGTTTTCAGTTCTCTGATGAAGTTAAGCTGCTGGCCCTGCGCTCCATCTCTCGAGCGGTATGGCGGCAGGACTTCGAGCTTGCGGGGGCCCTAATGTCGTTCAACGCGCTTGGTGAGCAGTTCCTGAGCATCGAGGAAGGCAATGTCTCGCTGCGCTCGGAGGTGGAGTTCGCAGAAATGTCACGTCTTGCCCACCACCAACACTTTATCAAAAGAAAGGAGCGTGCGCTGACGTTTGCCCGTCGAGCCGCACTGGCCCAACGAGCGCCTGAAGCTGAACACCAACAGAAGCAAGCACGCATTCTACAGCGTCGTGCTCGAGCTTGGGCCCCGTTTGCACGTATTCTCACATTGGTCGGTATTCGTATCCCTGATTCCGACACCGTTGTCAAATCACCTCAGGACATGCTGGACGAGCTGCAGAAGCACTGGCTCCCGATTTTTGCCGACAAGCCCGTCGACGAGATTGGTATGAAGGAGTTTGTTGCTCGGCACGCGCCTCCTCCTTTTCAACCACCTGCCTTGGTTCTTCCTTCGGTTGCGGCGCTCCGACGTGCCGCTCAGCGTGCTCGTGCATCAGCACCAGGTCCGGACCGACTTCCGTATCGAGCGTGGACGGCGACGCCGGGTGCCTTGGACGCGCTAGATGACATCGCATGGCAGGCGATGGAGACTGGAGTGGCACCTTTCTCTTTCAATGACTCACTGTTCTCGTTCATTCCCAAGGGCACGGAGGAGATGGACAACACTACCTGCACTCGGCTTGCTGCGGCCCTGCGGCCGATCTCCAGGAAGAACACCGATTCCAAGATCTTCGCGGCGGCCATCAACGAGCAGATGAAAACTATCGTGGAGCAACGGGCGCACGTTATACAACAAGGCTTCATCAGAGGCCGCAACTTCTGCAATAACATAATGATCATGGACACGCTGGGGAGGATTGCTGGATGGAGGCCATCTGCTGGGTCAGAACATCCAGTCCAGATCCTGTTCGACATTGCGGCGGCCTTCCCGTCGCTGGGAAGGCAGTGGTTGTTTGCAGCGCTCGCTAACTTTCAGTATGCCGAGGGCTTCATCAATGCCGTACGTGCCCTCTACGATGGTGGCCAGGCCATGATCACGCTGGACGGCGCCTACCGCTTCGTGTGCTACATGCGCTCTGGTGTCGCGCAGGGCTGCCCTCTTTCTGGTACCATATGGGCCATCGCCATGGATGTCATTCTCAGAGCGATTGCCGAGATTCTCCCGACCGAAGAAGAAGGCTCTGCGTCCGCATGCGCTGACGATCTAGGCGTTCACCTGAACCATTTGCGTCTCCTGCCCAAGATCCACCAGGTCTTCGACTGCGCAGAAAAGTACGGCCACCTCGCCATCAATGTGACCAAGTGTGTGATCATCCCCCTTTGGGCTGCTCTTGACGATCAGGTACGGTCTGTGATTCGCTTTTTCTTGGCAGAACAGATTCCAGCTTGGAGTAACTTCTTGATTGCTGATGTTGGTGTCTACCTTGGCGCACATATTGGACCTGGAGCGACCAATGAACTGCAATGGTTGAAGGCGATCCCGAAGTGGTGGGACCGTCTCTTTGCCTTGTCTACTTCTGGCGCCCCGACGGATGCACTGGCACGGCTATATCAGACCTCGAGCATCACGGTCCTGAGCTACCTCGCGCAATTCTTCTGGCTTCCTAAAGTGGCTCTGACACGAGAAATACATGCCCTGCATCGTGTTCTGCGTATGCCCCCGAGCACGTTCAGGCTTCAGGATATCCTAGCGATGTCGACATGGATGACGCCCCCTTCGCCAACATCCTTCAAACTGTACAATGTTGCCACGATGTGGCGCATGGCCAACTACACGATCGTAGGCTGGACGCACTTTCTTGGCTTGCTCGATGCCATGGCGGTCCAATACTGCCCGTTACCTGCATTTGCGAGGGGACGATGGTCACCCCCTTTCTGGAAAGAGCCGATGGCTATAGTGCAGCGCTACGCCGCCCTGAACTCGGGCCAGTCCCCGCTGCTACCGACGCGATCGAGCTCATCCCTGGAAGCTGCTGCTGAGATTGCCCGCAAGACGGCTGAGGACGCACGTGCAGCTGGACACCGTCCGCGACCTCAACGATGCTTCCTTCAACAAATCACGTCGCGGATCTTCCCTGATAGATTTCATCAGACCATCTTCAAGCGCCTGCAAAAGTGGTATGGCATGTCGATATCCATGCGGAGTTTGCGGACGAGGTGGCTCCACCTGAAATCCTTCCTAGCCAAGGTGTCTCCTTCGTGGCGGTGGATTGTGGTTCGGACTTTGGCAGGCGGGTGGCACACATCCTCGAGAATGCATGTTCACCCTGAGCGAGCTCAATGTGCCTTTGGATGTGATGCCGATGACGCTATTCAACACTATCTTGTATGTCCTCGTCTTCAACATCATGTATGCCTTCCTCGTGCCTTTTCTCATGATACAGTTCTGGCGAGGATTGGCCTTGGCGATGAAGGAGAATACGAGCGTGACGATTCACACGAAAAATCGATGTGGGCTACGATGAGGAGGCTCGTACTGTCCTACTACATGTACCTGGAGATGAAGAATGGTCCTGAACGAAGGCGTGATGACTACTCTGCACACCTTTCTGCCCGCCGTGCTGCGTTGGATCGTCTGGACATGGGTGGCAACCGCCCTGAGTTCGGGCGCACACCTGCACCAGCTGTCCACCAAGATCTGCCTCGAGACGGGCCTCATGCTGCGCCCCGCGGACTCGATGCATCCGTGCCTGCAGCGCCCCATCCTGCCGTCGTTGACGGCCAAGACAACACTGACATCGACACTGCCGTCAGCGACGGCCTCGACCTCAACACCTTCGACACTGCCTTCGACGCCGTCGCCGATGGGGTCGACAACGACTTCATGTGAGGAGCTCGGCCGCGGGCGGGCGCTGCCGCCGCTTCCGAGGAGACTCCGCCTTCTTATCGCACTGCTGCTCCTCCTCCTCCTCCTCCTCCTCCTCCTCCTCCACCACCTCCTCCTCCTCCTCCTCCTCCTCCTCGCCCGCGGGGCGGGCGCCGCCTTGGCCTTCTGGGACTGCATCGAACGCGGCGTTCCACAAAGAGCCTCGCCTTCGAGGGGGTGCGAAGTCGAAGCCTCTTCCTGGGCGGACGGCCGGTCAGTGCCGGCGGGAGGCAGGTCGGAGCCGGCGGAAATACAGCGGGAGCGGCTCCAGACGGCGGGAGGCTGGCGGACGCCAGCGGAGTGAGGCGTGCCCAGCTGCCTGTTCATGTGGAGGATGCACGATCGTTCATTGAGAGTTTCAAGCGATATCATCCCCTGCCGACGGTAGACGACCCCTCCCCCGTCACGCCTGTCAAACAATACCATGCGGTCTACTTGCGTTGATACCACAAGCGCTATCACAACCTTTTTCCAACGCTACCATGCGGGGCACACGTGCGCGTCCCCGCGCGCGCATGTCGAAATGATTCAAGCGTATGCTCGCGTTTAACGAGCCAGGGCTAGATACAGCTCACCAGGCACACACTTACATACATGTTTTTCTCTAGCGCTGATTAGTTAGCATATCCTGCGCGCGCATTTCATGATCATCCTCATCAATACCATTGTCATCGACATCGCCAGAGTCATCATTGCTACCGCCATCCTCGTCACCATCACATTCATTACCAACCATATCGCCACTATCACCACCGTCTTCATTATCGTCGTCAGTGCGTTTCTTGCTCTCGCCATCATCGCCACCACCACCATCGTCATTAGCATCTTCGTCTCCATTCTCGTCGTCGTCATCGTCACTATCCCGCCCGAGTCGTGGATTTGCATGCGAAGGTTACGGTCGCCACGGCGCTTGCCGAGATGTGCGAACCAGATCCGATGGGTTGCTGTGCAGTCGGGGCCCTGAAGAAGGAACCCTTTTGGTTTGGGAGGGGCTCCGTGATCCATAATTGTTTCGCAGCTTGCCTCAGGTTTCCCTTAGGTTTTCGATATGAAGTCGAAGTTTAACTTATGGGAAATAGGGGCCTCGTTCCTTATTTAGAGTTCCTTAGGTCAAGGCCTAATTCGGATTTTCATTAAACGAATCGCGGATTTCGGGGTTGGGTTTTTTTGTGGAGGTTTCTTGTGGCCGAGCCCCCACTGTATTCACGGCCTCCGTAGTGTTACCAACCAGTCTTGGGTGTGTGGTCCAGGTTTCTGCCATGGCACGGTGCAGGCTTCGGGGTGGGCCAGCCCCTTTTTTGGGGGCAGGTGCGGGCACCACACCCGGGGTCTCTATATTTCGATCCGACCGCTCCGATTCGATACAGTGGAGGCGCGTGCCAAGAAACCAGTTGGACTTTGCCAGGGTGCCCTGGGTTTCTTGGGCTTCGATGGGTCCCCAATACAGACCTGGATGATTTTCGATCGACAAATCTGGCCTTCATTAAGCAAATCGCGGATTTCAGGGTTGGGTTTCTTGCGGAGGTTTCTTGTGGCCGAGGCCCCACTGTATCGATTCTGTCCGGCTCGATCCGATTCGATTCCCGACGATCCAATGCGGGCCGATGCTCGCATGGCGCCATTGTGCATCAGCTAGGCGCTGGCGAAGCGTCTGGGCGTGTCTATTAGGCCTGCCACGTAGTGTTCAAAGAACCTTTTGCGGTTTGCGCGAAATGTCCTTAGATCATGTTTGTGTGAGACAGTTGTGTTTTAAGCCATCACTTGCAACTTATCAGCACATTGCTTATGTTATTCAACATTGCTTGGTTCTACGGGCATGCCTTTGTAGCCCTAAAAGGATGCCGAGGCGGTCGGTCCCTGCTCAAATCCTATCGCGGCGGATCCGATTCGATTGCGATTGCGTGCGGGTGCAGTCCGATCCGACGCACGTTCCGATCCGATCCGATGCTGACTGATCTTGCCCGCCTGGGCTTGGTTGGCAAGGCGCTCGCCGAGCCGGAGGCGCTCGCCGAGCCGCCGCCGGGCCTCCCCGTCGCCAGCGAAGAAGCGCCGCGGCTCGCCGAGCCCTCAGAGGCGGCCCTCGACGACGACGACGACGACGTCGACGATGGCGGCGGCGTCGGTGGCGGCGGTGGCGAAGACGACGGCGACGACGGCAACGACGACAACGACGACCAATACGACAACGATGACGAATACGACGACGACGACGACGACGACGACGACGACGACGACGACGACGACGACGACGACGACGACGACGGCGACGACGACGACGGCGACGACGGCGGCGGCGGCGGCGGTGGCGGCGGCGGTGGCGGAGACAGCGACGGCGTGGGCGACGTCGACGACGGCGACGGCGGCTGCGGCGGCGGCGACGACGACACGACGACGCCGACGACCGCGGCGGCGGCGGCGGTGGCGAAGACGACGACGGCAACGACGACCACGACCACGACCACGACGACGACGACGACGACGACGACGACGACGACGACGACGACGACGGCGGCGGCGGCGGCGGGGGCGGCGGCACCGACGACGACGACGCCGACGACGACCACGACGGCGACGACGTCGGCGTCGGCTGTGGCGGCGGCGGTGACGACGACGACGGAGACGACGACGACGACGGCCAGCGGCGGCGGTGGAGACAACGACGAAGATGATGACAACGATGACGACGACAACGCGGACGGCGACGACGGCGGCGTTGGCGAAGACGACGACGACGTCGACCACAGCGGCGGCGGCGGCGGCGGCGGCGACGACGACGACGAGGATCGAGGTTTGAGGATCCATATAGTTTGAATTTTGTCGGGGGCCTTGTACCCGAAGAGCTAGAGACCGTGACAGGGGTGCGCTCTGGATAGCTGTCCATTTTTTTCTGACGATCTACGCGGACTGCGCACGCCATGGCCGCCAGATACTCGGAAAATCTTGAAACGCACATCTTGAGGCAATCGCATCATGACGTCATCGTCTCCATACAGTGGAACCCCCTGGCAAGACACACCCTGCTTGCCTCCTGGGTGCCCTGGGCTTTTTGGGTTTCCTCGGTTCTGCTGTGGGAAGCGTGGCGTCCCCACACCAGCAAATCAATGGACGTCCTGGGGTCTCAGGGTTGGGTTTCTTGTGGAAGGCTTCTTGTGGTCGAGCTCCCGCTGTGCTCCTGTTCCCCGGGTGGCTCCTCGTCGCCGCGGTCGGGCCCGCCTCCCGAAGCTCCGGCCAGGGCGTGCCGGGCGACGCCCAGGTGGCCGACCGTGGAGGCCCGAAGTCCTAAAAGCGGCCGCCGTTGGCGTCGTCCTCCCGCGGTTCGCCGAGCCCTCGGAGGCGGGCCTCGGTCGTCGTCGCCGCCGCCGTCGTCGCCGTCGTCCCGCGGCTCGCGGATCCTTCAGAGGCGGCCCTCAGCGTGGTCGCCGGCGCCGATGCCTTCGTTCGCTGTCGTGGCCGCTGTCGGCCGCATTCTCCTCCTCATCTGCGCCTCCCTCCTCCTCATCACCCTCCTCCTCCTCATCGTCCTCCTCCTCATCGTCCTCCATCGCCTCAGCCTCCCGCTTCTCCATGTTCCCAGCTTCCTTTTCCGTCCGCATCCCCATGCTCATCCGCCTCTACGTGTCCTCCCACTCCTGACCTCATCATCATCCTGCTTCGGTTCTTACTTCACCTCCTCCTCCTCCTCCTCCTCCTCCTCCTCCTCCATGATCTGGCTAAGTTCTGCCCAATTCCCAACCATCGCGTGGTGTTGGGTCCTCGTTTTGAAAAAAAACAGTTGCCTCACGTCCTCTCTCCTCCCTCCTCCCCCCCTCCCCCCTCCTCCCATCCCTGCCGTTGCCCTCCGCACAGCCATGCCGGCGCACCCCTCACACAGTTCGTGGCCCCGAAAGGAGCTCCACAGAAGGCTCCAGCAGCAGGATCCGCACGGCGGCCCCGCGCCCACTTCGGCACAACGCTCACGCATTACGTGGCTCCACAGGCAGCTCCCCCGAAGACCCCTGCGGCAGGGTCCGCATGACGGCCTCGCGCCCAAGTCGGCACACACCTCGCACACTTCGTGGCTCCACAGGCAGCTCCCCCGAGGGCCCAAGCGGCAGGGTCCGCATGGCGGCCCCGCGCTCAATTCGGCGCACCCCTCACACACTTCGTGGAACCGTAGGGAGCTAGTCCGCATGGCGTCTCCGCGCAAATTTCGGCACACCCCTAGCTCCTCCGAAGGCCCAGGCGGTAGTGTCAGCATGGCGGCCCCGCGCCCACTTCGGCACACCCTTCACGCATGTCGTGGAACCATAGGGAGCTTCCCCAAAGGCCCCAGCGGCAGGGTCTGCAGGGCGGTCCCCTCGTGCAAATTCTGAAGCACACCTCACACGTTTCGTGGCCCCAGAGGGAGCCCCACCGAAGGCCCCAGCGGCAAGGTCCGCCTGGCGGCCCCGCGCTCATTTCGGCACACCCCTCACACATTTCGTGGCTCCATCTAGGGCTCCATCGAAGGTCCCGGCGGCAGGGTCCGCATGGCAGTCCCGTACACACTCCCACGATTCGCGGCCGCATAAAGGGGGCTCCACCTAAGGCCCCAGCGGCAGGGTCCGCATGGCGGCCCCGCATCAATGTCGAAACAGCCGTCACACTTTTTTCACCTGCGCGAGAAGGTCGCCTTGTGGCTGGGGGGAAGAGAGCAGCAGCAGCAGCAGAAAGGGGAGAGAGAGAGGGGGAAAGAGAAGGCAACAGCAAAAGCAAGCAAGCGAGCAGCGCGGGCGCGGCCAGACCGGCGCCTCCGCGCGCCTAGGGCGCGCGCTCCCGCCCCGCAGCCGGTGGCTCCGGGAGCCCCGGCAGCCCCAAGGAGCGCCGCCGCCGCGCGCTGAGCGCCTCTGGGCCGCCGGCCGCGCGGCCGCGGCGGCAGCCTCCTGCCAGAGCAGCCCGCGCCCGCGCGCGGCTGCCTCGGCCGCGTCGCGCTCCACGAGCGCCTCGACGGCCGCCAGGAGGCGCTCCCGCACCGCCCGGAAGCTGAGACCCCGCATGGGGACGCTCGGCGCGAGCTCTCGCGTCGCGGCCCAGCCGCCGGCGGCCAAGCGGCCGCGGAAGGCCTCGAGGAGCTCCTCGCGGGCCGCCGCAAGGGCGCGGTCCTCGGAGCCGCTGCGCGCTGGGCGCGCGCCCCTGCCGGCTGCGCCAGCAGCAGCAGCAGCAGCAGCAGCAGCAGCAGCAGCAGCAGCAAGTGCGCCAGGGTCGCAGGCCGCCTCCGCTGGGGAGGCGCTCGCCGCGCCCGCGCTGGCAGCTGGCGCAGTGGCCGCCAGCTGCGCCGCGCCGCCGCTGCCGAGCTGCGCCTCCGGCGGCGCGCTGCGCGCGCCTGGCGGGGCTGCCCGCCGCTGCCTGCGCAAGCGCCGCCCTGGGCGCGGCAGCCAGCCCTCTGCCTCCCCCGAAGCAGGCGCGGCGTCCTCGCCAGGGCCGCCTCGGGCCGCCTCCCCCTCGCAGGCGCTCGCCAAGCGCGCCCCCTCCGCGCCGCGGGCCGCCCCCGACCCATGGAAGCGCTCGCCGCGGCGCGGGCTGCCGTGCCGCCGGACTCGCCGCGGGCCGCCCGGTGGGCGCTCGCCGCAGTGCCCCCCTGGTGCGCGTCCTCGGCGGCTGCGCAGCCAGCAGCCGCCGGCGCGCTGGGGTCTTGGGCCGCCTCTGCTGGGGAGGCGCTCGCCGCGCCTGCGCCAGCAGGGGTCGGCGCGGCAGCCAGCTCTGGCGCTCCGCAGCCGCCGCGGGCCGCCTTCTGGGAAGCGCTCGCCGTCGGCTCTCCGCGCGCAGCCTCTGTCCTCTGGCTGCTGGCAGCGGCCGGCCGCTGCCCGCCCTCGTCCCCCAAGGAGTCGTCTTCGGCGTCCGCCCAGCGAGGCCTCGGCGCTTGCCCAAGGGCCGCGCGCGCTTGCCGGGTGAGCCCCCAGGCGCCGTCAAGCGCGTCGTACGACCTCTCGAGGTCGTGCTCGCTCGCGCGGGGGCTGTGCTCGCGCGCGCCCAGGTGCCAGCTGTCTGGCTTGGCTGGCGCGCCGAGCTGCTCGACCGAGCAGGCCCAGCCGGCAGTTCGCAAGATCTCGTGGAGATCCGCCGCCGTGCTCCCGCGCTCCTGCCGCGCGGGCGTCGCTGGCGCTGCCCGCGGAGCCGCCGGCGCCGCGGCAGCTGGAGCCTGCGGAGCCGTGGCTGTCCGCGCTGCTGCTGGCGCCGGCCGGGCCGCTGTCCCGGCGGCGGCGGCCGGCGCGCCGCGCCCCGCGTCGTTCTCCGCTTCCTTCTCGCTCGTGTAATAGCTGTAGGAGCGCCGCCCGCTGCTTGCGCCCTTTGCCCGGCCGTCCGCCGTCGCCGCCCCCGGCGGGGAAGAAGGCGGGCTGCGCGACGGGCTGCGCGCTGGGCTCCGTGCCCGCCGGGAAGGCGTCCGCCCTCGCGCGGCGCCGCGGCGGGGCCCCAGGCAGGCGGGGGGGCCCAGGCGGCGGCGGCGGCAGGCGCGGCGGGCTGTGGCTGCCTCCGCCGCTCGACGCCGCGCAGCCGGGGCGGCGTCCGCCCGTCGCCATTCTTGCCGACAGGCTGCGCCGCCGGTCGTGCCAGGGGGCCGGCCGCTCCTGCCCTCCCTGCAGGGCGCTGGGGGCAGAGGCCCAGACCCGCCGGGTTCTCGCGCGGGGGGGCCTCCGCCGCCTTCGCCGCCTGCCGCCGCAGTCGTCGCCTCACCCCGCTGGGCGGCTTCGCCCTCTGCTGCTTCCGCGAAGCAGCCGGGCCAGACCGCGTGGGGCCCAGCCCACGCGCTTGGCGCGGGGGAGGGGAGCGGCCCCGCCCTGGCTCCCGCCAGCGGCACTGGGATGAGGCACAATCCCCATCCCCAGGTCCAGCCTTTCGCGAGGCTGGGGAAGGCCGCCCTGCGCCGTCGCCGCGCCAGCGCCCGCCCCGCTGGGTCCGCCGAACATGGCCCCCCACGGTCGTGCTGCCGCCCCATCCACCGCGCCCGCGCGGCTGGGGCAGGGGGCGCGGCGCCGCCCAAGCCACTCAAGGCCACCTCGCGCCGAGATGGCCTTGAGCCAAAATAGCTACGGATCACACGTCCCGTGGCCACATAGGAGCTCCACCGGGAGCCCCAGCGGCAGGGTCCGCATGCCGGCCCCGCGCCCATTTCGGCACACATCTCACACTTGTCGTGGCTCCATAGGCAGCTCCCCAAAGGCCCCAGCGGCAGGGTCCGACTGACAGCCCCGCGCCCAGTCCGGCATACCCCTCACATGTTTCGTGGCCCTATATGGGGTTCCACCGAAGGCCCCAGCAGCAGGGTCCGCATTGCGGACCCGTACACATGTCGGCATACCTCTCCCACGTCTCGTAGCTGCATGCATGGGGCTCTTCCCAAGGCCCCAGCCGCAGGGTCCGCATGGCGGACCCGCGCCCATATCTGCACACCCCTCATGCGCTTCGTAGCCACAAAGGGACCTGCCCCTCCTTTGTCCCACCTGCCTTGCGGCACTCGCACCCGCATATGGTTGGGCAATTTGCCCGGATGTGTGTTTGGTCCACAGCTATTTCGAACAGTTTCGGGTGATTGTCCGATGTTCAATGTTCTAAGCAGCAGCCGCCACTCATAAATGGCGGAGTGGACTCTGACGACTTGTCTGCCTCTGCTTTCTTTGGGGAGGAGGCCAGTCTAGGCGTTGTTAAGCTTCGCTGCGGCGACGAAAGCCTGGAAACGAAGGGCCACGGCTCCGTGTGCTTGGGCAAGGGCCATACACGCCTGCTTTGAGCAGACAGTCGCACCCGAGGTGAGGCGTCGAATTCGATTCTTCACGAGATCGTCGTAGCCTGAGCAAGGATGTCAAGGACACGCGTCTGGCTCATGATAGAGAGACTCTGGCAGCAATTCCATGGTGTATTTAGCAGCGGCTGGGGGTGTCCAGCAGAGTATTGACAACATCGTGCTTTACGATCCGTCATGAGATGAGTCAGCCAGTTCAGGATCGCGTTATGTGCAGGGCGACGACATATCTTTTTCTGCGTCGGAGTTTTGAGGGCTCGCGGCCAGATTGAACTCGAGGACCGCAAGGCCGCGTGGCACGCCCTTGCGGAGCTGGAGGCGACGTGAGATCCAGATGTGCCCCGTTGCTCGCACGCTGTGCCTGGCCGGGGAACAGCTGGGCAGCTGGGCGCACGATCGTCATGTGAGACGTTGGATGGCACCCGCAGGCGGGAGCCCGATCCATACGCACCGAGAGGCAGCAGCTTGTTCTGCTGATGCGGGCCTCCTCCTCCTGCTGGCCGCTTCCGATCCCTCTCGCGGTCCCGACCTGTTGGCTCTCCGTCGGGGCCATCTGTCTCCCGCGGCCTCGCAGGGATGGCTGACCGGTTGTCCAAGACATTCGATCAGCTGGCCTACAGGATGTCAGAGGCGTTGATTATACGGTGTTCCATCGGAACGTTTTCGGTGTTTCAAAATGGCGCTCCCCCGCTGCATCACTGGAAGGCGAAGCGGGAAGCGCAGGCGAAAGAGCAGCACTGTGGCTATGTGGTGCATCGTGCCGCTCGGCAGGCACAGCGAGGGGCGGGACAGGCGTGGTGCGGTGGGGAAGCAGAGAGTCACTTGCACCGGCGAGGCACGGCGGCAGGCGGGGTGGGTAATGGAGGATGACGATTAATAAATGACCGGGGGTCGTGTTCACGCGGCGGCGCCCGGGACGACGATTAGAAAAAACCGGCCGCGGGCTGGAAAACTATGTTTTAAAATCGTTCTCCTCCAGTCAGAAAACAGTGCAGAAATAGCGGGAAACTATTGTTTTAAGCGTTCTCTCCCCTATTTTTATTAATCGTCATCCCGCATTAACAGTTGGGGCGGCCCTGGAGAGCCCGAGCAACGGGTCCAGGAGGCTCGGCAGCAGGAGTTGTGCAGGGGGGGGGCTCCCGGGAGCAGGCGCGAGGCCCGGCCAAGCATTGCCTGCACCCAAACCCCTCCTCATCCCCTCGCCGCTCTTCCCCTTCCCGTCGGAAGAGATCAGGAGCATTCTTCCCTCCCCTTTCCTCCTCTCCCCCTCCTCCATTAGGTCTCTCCCCGTCCTGCCTCCCCCCCTCCCTCCTCCTGCCTCCTCTTTCCTCTCTCCCTCCTCCCGCTCCTCTTCCTCCTCCTCCTTCTCATCCTCTTGCTCCTCCTCTAGCCATTCCCCCCGCCGCAGAGGCCAGATTAGAGTCCAACCCCCTCCTCCTCCTCGTCCTCCTCCTTCTCCTCCTCCTTCCCTCCTCCTCCTCCTCCTCCCCCTCCTCCTCCCCTCCTCCTCCTCCTCCTCCTCCTCCTCCTCCTCCTCCTCCTCCTGCTCCTCCTCCTCCTCCTCCTCCTCCTCCTCCTCCCCCTCTCCAGTGCGGTTCAATCTTCCTCCTCCTCCTCCTCGTCCTGCATCACACTTCATCTCTGAATAGGTCCTCCTTGTTGCCCCCCCCAGGCGTCTCGGCAGGGCGGGTTTGTCGTTCCGCCTGACCCTCAAGACTTGTGGCCCTGAGGGTGGAGCTTTGCAACAGCTTCGAGCATGGAGGGCGGCCGGTGTCAAACACGAGGTGATCGCGGTGGCGCCGCGCGCATTCGTTCTTAAAAGCTTACAACAGCTTCGAGGATGGAGGGCGGCCCGTGTTCCAAATGTGTCCCCCGTCAGCGGCGCCCACGCTTGTCTCAGAAGCCTGCAGCAGCTCCAAGGCTGGAGGGGAGAAACCCACAGACACAATGAATCGTCGATCCCCAGGAAAATATTGAGAAATATGGGAAGTGGGGGGGAATCCAAAACCCTGAAAATGCAGGAAACTATGGGGAACCCTGTCATTTCTGTGTAGTTATTTGCGTGTCCCAGGGCCCCTTGATCCAAGGTTGGAGGGCGGGCGGCTCCTTGTTAGCGTGTGGCTCTCGCTCCAGCGCCGCGCACATCCGTTGTAGCAGTTTCTACAGCATGCTCAAGGACTCGTATTGGCTGACGCCCCGGGAAGCCTGTTCTGGCACGGTGTAGGACTGCCAGACGCAACAGTCACGTTGATCCGTTGAGCTGAAGCCCTAGGAATGGCTCTGTGGGGCGATGTTTGGACTGTCGGGGCGAGACATAGATTGTTGATTCGTGGCCTGAGAGTCCGAGGAGCTATGTTCTGGCACGATTGAGGATCCTCAGACGTTTGTCTTCCAGTAGGCACTTCCCGCAATACATTCAGCTTTCTGTAGGGGCCTATGAGGAAGGTACTTGGGGGGAGGCTTTATTGGAGCATCGTTGGTGCGTCTTGGGGTGACACTGGTCCTCCTCTTCATCGTCGTCCTCCTCCTCCTCCTCCTGCCGGCCGCTTCCGATCTCTATCGCGGTCCCGACCCGTTGGCTCTCTGTCGGGGCCATGTTTCTTCCGCGGCCTCGTAGGGACGGCGGGCCGGTTGTCCAAGACAGTCGGCCAGCTGACCTGCAGGATGTTAGAGCTGTTTATGATACGGTGTTCCATCAGAACGTTTTCGGTGTTTCAACATGGCGCTCCCGAGGAGGAGGAAGAGGAGGAGGAGGAGGAGGAGGAGGAGGAGGAGGAGGAGCATTTCTGCATCGGCGCTGTGTCCCCGTCGTTCAGATTGGCGGGCCACACTCCTGGATCCGAGTCTGCCCTCGTCTCTATTGTTGCCTCGCGCCCTTTCCCCCTCTCCGCCTTTCCCTGGTCCCCCTCGCCCTCCTCCTCCTCTCCTCCTCCTCCTCCTCCTCCTCCTCCCCCTCCTCCTCCTCCGCCTCCGCCTTCCCCTGGTCCTCCTCGTCCTCGCGCTCCTCGTGCACTTGCTCCTGCTGGCTGCAGTTCCCCACTGTCCTCTTACTCCTGCTCATCCTCTTCCTCTTCCGCCATCTTTTCCTCTTCCGCCATCCCTTCCTCTTCCTTTTACTCCACCCGCCACTTCTCTTCCTCCCCCAGTGTGCAGGGCCCCCCCTTGGGGGGATCCAGGCCCGCTTGGATACCCGTCGGCGGATGGAGGAACACAACTCAGAAGGGGGGGAAGACAAAAGCACAGAAAATACACGAAAATATGAGGAATCCGGTTATTTGTGCGTATTTAGTTGTGTGTTTGTGGGCCCCTTCAACAACCACCGCTATGGGAAGGAATGGTCGGCATGGGTAGGATGTCAGACATGGCGCGAGATGTTTCGAAAGTTCTTTGATTTTTCGGGGGGGGCAAGGTCTTTTCGTTCCTAATTGTTCTATCCTGGGCCTCTTTCTGACCACTAGGGGGCCATGAACACTTAGAAACGATCACAATTAGACATGAGCGCGATTAGAAATGAACGACGTGTACCCTGACATGAACATTCGTCTTCTCTTTCCCGATCCATCCCGAGCGGAGTTTTTCAGCGCACAGGAGTCCAAAAACGGTTCACGTGGCCGCTCGTTCAATCGGAACGTGGCTGTACTTCCCAAGTACGCTGCAGCTGTGGCCCGGGGACGTCGACGCCCCTGGAGCACGGAGGGGGTGCGTGCGACCGAACGGCAGCCGCCACAGATCCAGGTGTCTCCCTTTCGCCGGCAGGGGTGCGGGGGCTCTAGCCCGAGGAGGGGCCTCCTTTGCCCCCCGGAGGCCGAAGCGGTCGGACAGCGATGCCAGCCGCGGCCGCGGGCGCAAGAGGAGCGCGGCGTCGCCGCGTCCGCCGCCGTCGTCTTCATCGTCGTCTTTGTGACTGTCGTCGTCGGCGTCGTTGACGTGTTCGTGATTCGCGTCGTCGTTGTATTCGTGGTGCTCGTCGTCGTCGTCGTTGTCGTCGCTGCCGTCGTCGTATTCGTGGCCGTTGTCGTATTCGTCGACTTCGTCGTCGTCGGCGGTGGAAGAGAAAGAGGAGTAGAAGGAAGAGCAGCAGCAACAGCAGCAGCAGTAGTAGTAGTAGTAGTTGTTGTAGTAATTGTAGTCGTAGTCGTAGTCGTAGTCGTAGTAGTAGTAGTAGTCGTAGTAGTAGTAGTAGTAGTAGTAGTAGTAGTAGTAGTAGTAGTAGTAGTAGTAGTAGTAGTAGTAGTAGTAGTAGTTGTAGTTAGTAGTAGTAGTAGTAGTAGTAGTAGTAGTAGTAGTAGTAGTAGTAGTAGTAGTAGTAGTAGTAGTAGTAGTAGTGGTCGTAGTTGTAGTAGTAGTAGTAGTCGTAGTAGTAGTAGTAGTAGTAGTAGTAGTAGTAGTAGTAGTA